TGCCGCAGGAGTTGGTGAACTGCAAGAAAGCATTGCTCATGTACTCCCCTCCCTTGTCGTCCCTCAGGATCTTGATTTTTCGCTCTGACTGGTTCTCAGCATAAGCCTTGAATGTCTTGAAGGCCTCAAAGACATCAGACTTTGCTTTTATGGGCAAGACGAATCTGAATCTGGAGTAGTCGTCTATGAAGGACACCCAATAGCGAAATCCTGAGAAGCTGGGGTGAGGGACTTGGTGCACGTCGGTGTGGACGAGCTCGAGAGGCCTGGAAGCGCGCCATTCAGAAGGAGGGAAGGGGTTTGCGTGCATCTTGCCAGCTAGGCATGGTTCGCAGATAGGATCTGGTGCAGATTTCGACTCTATGGTCATCCCAGTGACGAGCTTCTCCCTTATAAGCATCTTAATACCTTCTAGGTGATGGTGAGCGAGCCTCCTGTGCCATAGGTCGAAGTCTAGGGGCAGAGTCGCAGCTGCAGACGCATATTCAGTTAATGCAACAGTAGAACCATCCAGGAATGCAGCATTCGAGTTGCTGATGCTGGCTACAAACAGTGGGGTACCAGTGGGGCGTTCGAAGGACATCTTAGATGCATTAATGAGCACAGTGAACCCCATGTTGCGAGTTAGATATAGGACAGATAGTAGGTTATTTCGCAAATCTGGTACATGAAGGACTCTAGTGAATTCTACAGCTTCGACACGCCTCCCATTAATGACTGGACTGAATACCACTGTGCCCTCGCCAGCTGAATAAACTATGTTGTTGTCTGCGAGCTTGATAGGGACGCGTTTGGGCGCATAATTGCGCAGCCAGTGACGATGGGGGGTCATGTGAGAGGTAGCACCTGTGTCTGCATTCCAGTCAGCATGTGCATCGAGTTGCAAGGGGCAAAGAGGATGAGATGGGTCAAAAGTGCGAAGACTTGCATTACCAGCAAATTCTGTGACTTGTTGGGCGCTCTGGGAGGTGTTCTGGGCAGTGGTCGAGTTGGAGGCGGGTGCAGCGGTGTTGGGAGAGGGTGTAGACGCTGCGGACGATGATTGGGACGCCTCAGAAGCCTTGTTAGCGCTCCTTCCACCTTTTCGACCATCGTTTTTGGTCTTGCAACGATCCTTATCACCTTTAAGACTCCTGCACTTGTGGGTGCAGTGACCAGGCTTCTCGCAGTACCAGCAGGTGACAGAGGTGCCGCATCTACAGTCTCCAGACGCAGTAAACAGCGCTGCATCGGTCCCAGAACCTTCAGGACGTCTCCTCCTTTGGGTTTCCTCAGCCAGGAATGCTGCCTTCAGTTCCTCCTTGTCCAAGGACTTGAGTAGCATCAAAGGACGACGCAAAATTGGAGTACTCCTCGCCCAGGGAACGAACCATGGTCATGCAGACCAGCTCTTGATCGAGTTCCTTGATGGTGTAAGGCTTGGATGGGTCTGAGGGTCGAAGCTCCTGGACTTTGGACATGCCATCTTCGATCCTGGCAATGAGGGTGCTCAAGGACTCGTCAGGCTGCTTCCTAATAGGAGAAGAAGTCGTCCCAGGCATTGAAGCGCGCGCCAGGACGCTTCTGGAGGTGCGTGGAAGCCAGGGTGGTCCAAATCTTGACAGGGTCGTCCTGGACAGCGTCGATATGGGTCCTTTGCTCTACAGAGCACGCCAGATACAGCTCCCCAGCTGCCTTGTCTGCCTTGGTGTCCCACTTTGCTGCAGCTTCTGTCTCTGTAGGTCGAGTCTCGATGCCATTGACGAGCAACCAGAGACCCTTGACTCGAAGATAGGCCTTCATCTCACCCTTCCAGGTAGCATAGTTGGTAGAAGTGAGTTTGGTGACAGTGCAAATAGATTTTGAGTCTTCTGAGGACATGGCGAAGGATACGGCGCAGTTTTGCAGCAGTGGGACGAATTAAGGGCAAGGGCTTGGTAGAATTTGAAGGAAAGGCTGTCTTTGCTGATTTTCAACAAAGAGAGCAAGCAATAATGGGTGGGGAGAGTGCACCAGTGGCTGGGTGCGAGAGGAGGGAAAATGCGCACTAAGTTGGCCCAAAGACAGTGAACTCCAGCGACAGATTTGACTGCTAAAGCGCAGGGCTCATAACCTGTTAGAAGAACTGAGAGTTCAAAGTCAATGCACTTGATATTATTGTGTAAATAAGTAAAGTACTGTACCTGAGAGTTCAAAGTCAATGCACGAAGCATGTAAGACTTGTGAACTCTGCACTATGGGCGAGTCTATGTAAACAAATATAAACAATTCCTAGTATGGTATGTGTCCTCGAAGTGTCTTAGAGGTCTGTCCTCAAAGTGTCCTCGAAGTCCTCGAAGTCCTCGAAGTTATCTACTAATATAGTAATGTCCTTGAAGTGTCCTTCAAGTCTTCGAAGTCTTAGAAGTCTTCGACCTATCTAGTGTGAAGTCACCACACAACTAACAGTGTGTGCCTCACCGATAACATGAGGATGCTGCGGTTCGGGGTTCGGAACGGTTCAGGAAGGTCCAAACCTATGTCTGAACCGTTCGGGTGATGGTGGACCGCAAACCTCTTTCAGGTCCGGTCCGTCCAAAACTTGGAACCATGGACTGAACCAAGGACGAACCTGGCCATTGGTCAGGTTCGAACCACGGTTTGGGACCGGACCACGGCAGCACTATATCGATCCCGGAGCAGGCCTATCCATTGAGCAGTCCCCAGCGACACACGCTGAAATACACGAGATGCGCGACTGTACCTTACCAGAGGGCCATTGGCTCCTTGATGTACGCTGCAACCAGCACGCTGCCCAGATATAGTGTTCGTCGTATCGACCCTTTTGCAGTTCATGCGGAATCCAGGCAGGCCCCATTGGGACGCTGCCAAACGTGCCCTCCGGTATCTAAAAGGTATGGGGAACCTTGAGTTGAAGTTGAGCGAAGGCGAAGGAGGCCTTGAAGCATACGTCAATGCGGACTGGGCCTCGCAGGCCCACAGACACTCTACTTCTGGGTACATTGTACTCCTGAACGGGGGAGCAGTAGCCTGGAGCGTGCGTAAGCAGCCTATTATTGCCCTTTCCACAGCCGAAGCAGAATATATAGCACTCACCAGTGTTGTCCGAGAGCTGCTATACCTCCGCCTACTCCTCGAGGAACTCTACGGCATCACCCAACATCCCATCCCTATCCATTGCGACAATCAGGCTGCCATCGCACTTGCGACAAATGGAAAATTCCAATCACGCACCAAACATATCGACCTTCGTTATCATTTCGTTCGTTCTCACGTGAAGGCCGGAACCTTTAAGCTGCAATACTGCCCCACCGATGACAACATCGCCGACGCATTCACCAAGGCACTGGCCCGCCCCCGCTTGCAGAGACTCAGAACCCTGATGGGACTAGCTTGCGCTCGAGGGGGAGTATTGACATCGTCCGAAGATACCGAGCACAGAGAGAGTCGGGATGCCAAATAGCAGGTACGAGCGCAAGGGATGTGTCGGGAGCGGGAGGAACGGAGAAGGACCTGTTGACGTCGGGACCAAAATGGTCCAAAGTAAATTTTTACCTTCATAATAATCGAGAGCGCTTACCGTATAAATACTAGCGCCCAATCGTTGCGAGCGTCTCAGTTCTTTCTAGAGACTGAGACGTGAGTCTACACCTTTACCGTTATTGTTACACTTAACTGACTTAGCGTAGTTGCTCTTACCTGTTAGGTACACGCTTCGTCAATATGAGTTCTTTCTAGAGACTGAGACTTGCTCTTACCTGTTAGATCCTTTCTATCTCGCTCAACCTCTAATCTCTAGAAGGTGATATATCACACCACCTGATGTATTATGGTTGAAAATGTATCACGGACTTACCATAACTATAGGGAGTGATATATCATTACCACAGGGACAGGTGGCTAGATGCGGCCGTTTTTGCGTGCATAACTACTACATTCTACTCTATTGCTAGACTCGGAGAGTTCACTGTTCCAGCCATCAAAGCTTTCAATCCATCCAAGCACATAACACATGAAAACGTTGTAGAAACTGTCGATCGCAATAATCTGCCCGTCACGAAATTTCGGATCCCAAGCACCAAGACATCACCTATAGAAGGGGAAGACACTTACTGGTCAGCTCAAGATGGTCCTTCAGACCCGAAAACAGCGCTCGAAAACCATCTTCGCGTGAATCAAGGCAATGACAAGGAGCACCTCTTCGCATGGAAACACCCTAAGGGCATGAGACCGCTCTCGAAACCGCAACTAGCAAAGAGACTCAGTTCTATTGCATGAACTGCGAATCTCGCAGACCTCAAAGGCCATGGTCTCAGAATAGGCAGAACGCTCAAGTATTTGTTGAGAGGAGTTCCATTCGATGTCGTCAAATCTATGGGCAGGTGGTCAAGTGATGCTTTCACGCTGTACCTACGCGAACATGCGGTAATCATCGCACCTTACATTCAATCTTCTCCCGCGCTTGAACCGTTTACCCGTCACACAATGCCACCGGTACGGTAAACGCCAATAGTGAGTGCTTCTCCTACTCATCCTAGGGTGTTAAGCTTCGCTATTTGCGTCATAGCACTCCTACTCTTATGGGATCACAGCTCACCTTGAAACCCTTAGGTTCACGCGCATGCACCGGGCCGAAAAGCCCTTCGGGCCTTTGCCCAAAAACCTTCACTACATCAATCAGTTTTTCATTGCGCTACGTGTACCTAGTTACCTCAAACATATCTTCAACATCCCGATAAACTTCGAGCGTCGAAGGCATAGAGTCTTTCACTCCCGCACATTGCAACCTCCTTCATCATCCCTCTCAGGCTGGATCTATATTTAACTTCATGAATTTACGCTCGTTTGATTTCTCTTCGATCCATCCAATTGAAGATTGGTAGGAAGCAAAATCGGTGTTTCCTCGACATTACCATACATTCCCATGTGAAAGCCGTCAGCACATTTACGCAGATTTTTGTGGTGTTCGACATTATATTACCTCATATATCATTCTCATTTGTTCACCGGTTCACTGATGCGAATGGTTGGAGGCACGAGAAGCTTTGCAACTAAATTTGGATGGGGAGGTGATTTGTCGAGCTCGTTGACTCCGTCAAAGGCCATTTGTTGATGCGCAACTCTAAATTCACTCTCTCGATTATTATGTGTCCTTGTTAATACAACCTGCGGGGTCCATCGATCATCCTTCCTTCGCCCGATATACAAGTTCCTCGGTTATCATACATTGGCGTTAATAGGTGAACAACTGAGATTGACCAGACCATTCTGAACAATGGTCAAGTTGGGATATACTTTAACAAGACTGATGCACTCACGGTATTGACTTCTTCGCAGCAGAGGGGTTCCTGATTAGCACTGCAGCCTTGGAAGGTGCCCACAATGCTAACTCCCGAGCACTCGTTCTTTGCCCGACGCTCCACGATTCCTCCCTGCGCAAGATATTCTGCCGCCTTGGAAGACTGCCATGGGATGGAAGTGAGTAATTATTTTGTCCAGCAATATTGTGGTGACGTACCGGGTCACAACACATAATCGTTCCAGTGTCACACTGCGAGTCGCCGGCCACGATGAGGATAGTCAAGGATAAGGATATAAGAGCTACGATACATTTCAACATTTTGCGCTGGGTTGACTGGTAATGGTGGTATGTAGGTAGACAACGGGGTGAATTTGAGGCTGATTGCTATCTGCCATTTATGCATCCCGATTGTTTGATGTTGTGTCTGTAGGTTGAAGATTCTTCGTGAAATCCAACGTAACAGCGTCGACGATTTTGCGGACCTGTTGACGTTGGATGATGCTCTTGATATGGAATAACACCATCTTTCCACTATCAAAGACCGCTTTGGCCTTGTTTGTGGATGGCATGATCTGGAGGAAGACTGTCATTTCCGAGCTTTGATGATGGAGAATCTTATAGGGATACAAACAAAGTGCGTTCTTGACGAACTAACATAGATATTTTGCGGTAAATGGTGTATTTCTTTTCTTGAAAATTAGCACCATGAGGAATACCCATTAGGAAGCATAGCGAACCTTGTATGATGTCGCATAGTCGACCTCGATTAGCTTATCTCTGGGACATCCGATATCCGTTTGGAAATAGAAGCTGGAGGAAGAAAAATACTTAGCAGCTATTCTGAGCGTAAGATGGTTACTGTGCGTGCTGATCTAGTTTCGGGCTCGATGCCTTGAGACAGCATGGCCCTCTTGACCAGCGTCAGTTCGTGTCTAATATCAACCATGCGGTAGAAGTACGCCTGCGTCTTGAGTTTGTGGACGATCAGCGCATAGTCCTTGAGGTTTGCCACTTCAAGTACCTCCTGCATGTACATACCCGCTTATCTGTACCCAGTGGTGAGTGGGGTAGAGGACAACATAGCCAAATGTAACTTACACAGGGACGATGGTGGATATATGAACTACATCGACGGTGTCTGCAACCCGAATGCGCAAGAAGAAACTGGAGGCCATGGCTCAACAAATGACCTAAATAAGATGTTTCTTTGGCGCTGCCATATCTCTCTAGGGCCGCCGTTGTATCTTGCTCTCCGGTTGTTCATTTTGTTGTACTGAGGGGATTAGCATAGACAATGAAGAAAAGAGTATCGTACTTTGCAGCGGGGTAGCAGCCAGAATAGCGAATGCCTCGAAACCGAATTTCGAGATCTTGCCCATGCGTTCAGGTGCTGTGACAGAAAAGGATAAATTTGCTGCAACAGAAAGTGACTCACTGGGCATATGCAGGAACTCCTCGTCTACCTCGCCGTCATCCTCTGCAAATGCGCATGATCCATACTGCAGAGAGCTTTGGGTCATCATCATTTACACCTGCATTCAGTTCGGGCTGTCATCACTCGTCCATAAAGCGAAACCGATGACTTCCTCGATAGTTCGTCTTTCCGCGCGTTCAGAATCGCATATTCGCCATGAGGTTCCGTCGCATATGGAAAGTAAACCTTGACGTCTATCGAGGACGTCTATTCCCGTCCAGAGATGGGACGGTGGGACCGCCTGAGGAATCACGGATAGTGGTGAGAGCGGATGCAGGCGCGCCGGTGTGACAGGCTTGCGTGTGAATGTCATGTCGAATGAAGCGTCGACGACAGGTAGTAATATTGAGATGCCTCTTCTGCGAATTTCATGTTTTGGGAGTGGTTGGTCAGATCGCTGATCTGGCTTTGCTTTGGCACGGACTGACCATCTCGAAGCAAGTCTCGATGGGCCTAGAATGGAGGGTCGCAGAACACCCTTCGCGAGTGTTGTGCGTAGCACGATGTTCAGACATGGGGCTGAGTCATGAGCGTGCTCGAGGGTAGGGAACAACGAACGATGATGTTCCAAGGCAAGGCTAAATAGATTAGACCCAGTGCTGAGGCACTCTTAGAGAGATTGAAGACCCCATCAGATGCGCTGTCCGAGTACATGGCTCGGGTGGCAGCAAAATTTCTATACATAGGGCGGTGAGCAGCGAGCTTTGCAACTGCATAGATTAGACATAACACCGTACTGTGATAGAATGGGCTCATGGAGATTATACGCACGCCTAAGGGTCATCGACGTCGCGCAGGTAAGACAGTCTTAGACTGCCAATTGAATATATGTACGTCAAGATCATGAGTGCACAGTTGAGACCATTCAGATCCTACGGTACCAGGTGTATCCTGGGTCACTGATGCAGACATGATGTCTCTGGTTCGGTCGTGCCCTGACGATGTCCAAGTCGTTCGCGAGATACTCAGTAAGTTAAACTTCAGCGCTTCAGCTTCGACCTTCAGATAATTTAGCCATGAACAGCACGCGAAGAGCTAATCATGAGTGCCCAGAGGTAACGCCCGTTATTCGGGAGTTCAACGTTAATGTTCAACAGTGATATTTCCCACATGTAAGATGCCGGCCAGCAAGCGGTCATAAATAGTACCTATCATCCATAAATGGCTAAGCTTCGGTCGGGATTGGCAAGGCCATCATTTATTTGAACCCTGCACTACTCAGAACACTACTCAGAGCACAGTGCTGTACAGGTGGGGCAAACTATATATGAAGTTTAAAATGTTCGCTGGACCTGGGCGATGGGTCCGTTGCTGTCAGCTGGCCACAGCATATCTGCCACTGTGATCAATGCGATCAATGTGATGCACTAGTGTTACAATGAAGGCTAGTGTCCATTCATCGTTAAACTCCCGACATCTGGTACTTATATTATACTGCCCCAGGCGAATTCGGCGTTGTTGCACTTAGTCTCTGTCAAAGCCTCGTACGAACACTTCAAAGTGCTTAGCTTATCGGTTGCAAGTGAACTACGGTCTCGAAGGTGACAAAATGCTGTCCAACATACAAGATGTAGCGCTAGCCTTCAGGGCAAAGCTTGCTATATGTTGCCTGTTGCGACGGTCACGGAAAGTGATATAACACTCACTGCGTACTACATACGTAGAAACTTGTCTATCGTTTCCTTGCCGTTCAACGTACAGGTACCCACACAATTTCAAAACCCTTTCAGACCCAGTGACTAATCGAATTCTCGTCATAAAATCCTGGAGAGACTTCCGCTGTACAAGTAGCAACGGTCACTATATGGTATACTCTTCGAAATTAAAACTGCAGAAGTTATACCTGACCGAGAACCACTAATGTATCTTGGTGGGACAGGATGATTGGCATGCGCAGCTCAGCACACAGCTGAGGTAACGAGTGGGGGATGCCAAGGGGACGACGCGACAATAATTTTGACGTGGAGGATTCTGAAAAACATATTCAAACTTGAAAATTAAAGTACGATGCCAATGACCAGAAAGGAAATGTATCATGAGGTGAGTGACGAAATTTGAACAATCCCCTATGTTTGATCTCGCTCATTATGTGCCGGCGGGCCAATCGCAACTTCAGCACTGTTCACCACAGCCTATTTTATTTCCCATTCATTCTAATTCACGCGAAAGCTACAGTTCAGCCCTCTACAATGAAACGACACAGCCGTCCATGTCCTTCCGTCCCGGTGTTTATCAGCGCGCTAATCGTCTTCAGCATCCTAGCGAGCTTAGCACTGAAGTTGCTGAAAGACACCTCATATCTAGTTCCCGTTGTGCAATCAGCATTGGACGACTTACAGTCCCCCTCCAACATCACCTCAGAACAGGGCGGGTCTCAAGAGGTTGATCCCGAGCTTGACGCTCTCCGCCATATAGTTTCTCAAACCAAAGGTTTCTATGCACGCGACTACAGCCTCTGGTTAGGCTGGAATAATGTCCGTCCCAGATTCTTTTCTGACTATGCAAACTACGGCTTACTTTTCATAGATGCGATATATCATCGAGGCAGCTGTCCTCCACGGACGTATTCTAAACCGTACTACGATCATACCCTCTGATGTGTATGCTCGTGCCTGCGAATTCGATAAGTACGTGCTATCCTTGTATCGACCCCCCACATTTGAATATTTTCCTAGTTCCGTATGCGCTGCGTATGCTACCATGGCCAATAGGGGGGACGCAACCGGTACAGATGAATGGCGCCAACTTCCCATAGAAAAACAAATGGCCTGGAGGATACCCGTGTCTCTCATGTTCAACTTGACCCATTTGCGTGAGACACATGCAGTCATCACAGTATCTGAATATCTCCGCTTGCACAACATTTCGGTCGATGTGGAAACCACCAACGGACGCTGGGATACCGATTTATATCACCGCGGCGTCAACATAGATAGCGGGGTGGAACCCAGCCTCTACGTTATCAAGAATGAGTGGTATGACGCCAGTATTATTCGGGTTGATCAGCTGCCACAAACTATGCGGGAGAGGGGGGGATGGAATACCACTCATGGACAACTCGGGTCCTGGACTATCACGGAAGAAACCCCTCTCTCAAAGGCGCTGCATGATTCAATGCCATTCGGTGCATCGGTTCTCGATTGGGACACTGTCCTCGTAGTTGTGGGGGATCGTCATGACCCAGACGAGACCGGATCATCGTCGGTTAACAATATCGCAAGTACACTGGAAGAGAATGGCTGGGAAGTCCTTTACACCTACGGCGGCGCGTAAGCCCGTTCATTTGCTTGGCTGACTCCTAGAATAAGACCGTTTGCCTAGCTGTGGCTCAGATGCAACGAAAGATGTCGCAGTTCCAATCCGACAAGCAGTCCCACGACAATTACTGCGTGGATTGTACGAAGACTTTGGGTTCATAGAGCAAGACGTGCTTCTCCTCCAGGGTGAGGTTCATTTGGGACGGAAGCCGGTAATTATTTTTTGTCTTCCTCCGTAAGGCGCTTTGATTACACCTAGTGAATAGGGTGCCCTCAAATTCACCACCTTTGAAAATCGAGAGAGATACACGCAAGCAGTCCTGTCTGACTTTCGTCTCACAGATAATGTGATTGACCTGGCGGATCTGCTGTCTAACCGCATGGTCGAGAAGGTCGGTGGACGAATGTGGATGGGAGCTCATATGCGACGGGGGGATTGTCAGTCCTCGTTTACTCGAATACCTCGACGCTCACAATAGGTCATCTAGTTGCGACGTTGAAATGGACTATGGAGCCCAGTTTTGAAGCTCATCTCGCCCGGATCAAGCGCCATCTACGCGACGGACGGGATATCCTACATTTCGTGCATCGTGGGCCTCTCTATACCTACGAAGTTCCATTTGGTCAAGCCGATCGCACGCCTCTACTTCTAGATCCTCCAGCACATCATGACCGGTGAGACATCTAACTTGCTTTTGAAAAGGAAAAACAAACTTCTTCAGATTCTACATTGCCACCGACGAACGCGATCCCACGAATCTTACATACCTGCGAGATCAAGGTGCCGTTTTGATTTCCGACCTGCTAACTATAGAAGATCGCCGAACCTTTGGATGGTCTCTGATGCTCACCGACGTTCTCAGTGTGCTTGAGCAGGCAACCCTTGCCCACGCAGCGTACTTTTATGCCCATGCGCATAGTTCGGTCGCTGGCGGTATCGTGAATCTTCGTGCTTCTCATGGAGCTGATCCACGAACTGCATTGCTGGAGACTTGACGACTGACAGATTTCAACATACTAGACTAGACATGATATGTGCTTATAATAACTCGAGTAATATGTTGGGGTTAGTGTCGAACCATACCTAAAACAATGTAGCGGATCAAAGGACTGCAATAGAAATGACAGTCGTTTGGAGTCAGTTTTCTGAGTCGACTTGTTAGCTCGCAAGTGTGAATTGGTGCAATGAGACAAATGGTCACGGGATTGATTATAGATATTTGATAGAGTGCTGAGAAGCCACCGAAATACGAGCGATATCACCTTCTAGCGAAAAGTCCCGTTGGAGAAAGTGCTTTTGTTCACCTTGGTGGGGGCAGCCAAAATATTAAGTTGATCAAATCATATAGAGTACGACAAATCATTGACCAAGCTCATTTTTCAATCAGTAGAATCAAGCACTTGGTGGCATCGAAGAGGCAGGGCTTGAACTCAGTCATTAGCGCGGTGAGATCGTACTTATGGAGATCAGGAAGTTTGTCAATACCACCCGAGAGGAAGAACGAGGAAACAATTGAGGCTCGGCATGCCCTTCTTAACTAAACTGTCAGTTCAAGGTGATTGAGCAAACCTGTCAAACTCGGTCTGCAGTTATTATTACACTGTCTCGACCCTTTGAAGCCTTTAATTTGAACGAAAATGCTTGGCATAATGTGCGATTTGAAATACGGGAGTTCTGACCGGAAGGTTTGATGGAAAAGTAAGTGCCTTCGCTCACAGCTTGGGCGGAAATGAGAGGAGACAGGCACGATGGAAAAAAAGAATGGGACGAACAAGTATTTTCTCATTCCACCCATCGGGGTGAAGAAGAATATGTAAGACGTCATTGCAGAACGTACCACGACGAAAAAATGCCATACAAGGTTATTCCTGCGCGCAAATAAGACTCCTGGAAGGAAGGTCTTTGGGAGGACATTGCCATTTGGAGTCGATTGAAGTCGTAAGCCAAGAGAGGCACCAGTGTTGCTCCAATAGTAGCCATCGCTGTAAGACATAAGGTTCTCCAGTAGGGTGCACTTAATTAAAAGGCGGAAATAGGTTCTGCCAGCCAACTTGTAGATTTGAAGTCGTGCAGCGAGCCTCGTCCTCGGGCAGCGATAAGAATATTGACGTACTAATGCTTGTGGGCGTTTATATGGTCAAGGTACCGTGAAGCTGAGCGTCATCCCACCGAGCGTAGCAAGATGTATTTATTAATTCATTCAATCTGTGTGCGAGCATCGGCACAGGCGGTTATTAGTCCATGCGCGTGAGTAAACAGCGCAGGGCGATAAGAAGAAGGCTCCTGAACTATCTTTCTGCTTGGGCCAGAATCCCTTAGGCAGAATCTTCGGAGGTGAGTCTGCAAAAATTGGCAGTACTTCGTCATGTGCCCAGCAACTCAAACGATCATTGCAAGCGCCGTACCAAATCCATCATAACTAATTACGGGGTTCCGACGTCCTCGAGCGCTTCGCAAGAGCATGGACATACCTACTGGTCTAACTCTGCCGCCGTAAGCATGTCCTCATAAGATAATGGGATTGATCGTGGAAGGGAAATCATGATCATGAAAATACAATAGACGCCTGTGATTGAAGCAACCGCGACCGGATATATGTAGGCTCATTATATACAGATATCTGCTAGGGCTCACCAGTTTTCCAGGTTCTGTCAAAGTCAGTCCAAGCTCCAAAGCAGCTAGATGCAGTTACATCCACAGGGCTGCGAAAAAAAACTAGGGGTGACATTGAGCCATACTTATCGACCAAGTGCTGAGCGCTAAGCACTGAGGTACCGAGCTGCTGCCGTGTGGGCCAAGCTATGGCAATGTCGTGCCTCTTCTAGAGTGCCTGGTAGCTACGGTCGACCAATGACAAAAAATCTCTTGAACCCCGGACAGTATGAGGGACGCCTGGCCATGGAGACACACTAAGGATCGATCCATTCAGGATAGCATCGCATTTCCGCCGACACAATGAGCACTAGTGGGATTCCGGGACGGTGAGTCATGATGAATTTGAAAACATACTTATGGTTCATGATGATAGTGGAACAGCTGAATCTTGATGAAATGAGTCTTCAAATTTCAGCCATGATCAAATACCTATATAATCATTATCCGCAGTTGCAGCGCACCTTGAACCGATAAATTTCCCCCGCCCAGACTATTATGACTGCATACCAAATGAACTTGAACTTTGATTATATTTCATCTTCTTCCTTCCATCCCCCGTTCTACAGATGTAGCGATGAGTAAGCGATATGCAAGTAAATGTAAATGTACGTGTATGAAAAATGCCGCGGTATGACCTGAGTACAATTGCTATCTATGCGCGAAAAGATGGTGAGGCTGGGGTTGAGCGGATTAAAGTATGGACAAGAATAAGAAGCACGAGAATAGTGACGTATAAACAAACGCAGGCGGAGGCACGAGGGTATTAGGGCGATAACGCAGGGGACCAGCGAGACAAAAGTAGCTCGATGACATAGGTTGAGTGCGACAGGAGAAGGAGCGTGAGTACATGTATAATTCCACAACAGATAGTGCGGATGGATACGTGGAGGATGAGAGCCACCACCAACGAGCGGAAATCCAGAGGAACCATACAAAAACCAGAGCAAGGAAAGCAGTAAGCCAGCGCGATAGTTGAGTAATGACCGAGGTGTACAATTCAATAATGAGCGTGGTAGACTGAGAATAACCAATAGATACTAGTATGAGATTGCCGAAAACGCGTGCCGGCGTGTTGAGCGGAAAGCGACCCATTGCACGTCCTGGAGTCCATGGTCCCCTATTTGTCAACTGTGAAAACCATGTTAGGGTCCAGAAAGATGATTGAACTAATTTCGCATACCTAAATGGCACCTATTGTGCCCTGCGCCAAAAGCCCCTCACGGTGTTAGTGCGGGTCGCCTTCATTGCCGAAGGCAATGGAAGCCTCGAAACCAGTGCAGTTGGTTCATCAATTGACATAGGTGACTTCGGTTCCATGGTCAAAGAGCTCGGGAGGTATGGTGCCCGAGGAGTCGGCACAATAACTTTTGGCGATGGAGCGAACTTTGACGGCGGAGGTGGAAGTATGGATGTTGGCGGTGCATTAGAAGATGTAGGATGGGGAAGCCGCGATGATGAAGACTGCGAAGCAAGCATTGATGCTAATTTTGATGGGGGCATGAAATTTGTGGGCGGTGGTGGGATCCTCGACGTATTTGGGCTCGCCCCATTTGGGATACTGGAAGAAACAGCTACCGTGCGGGGAAGGGGAAGTTTTGAAGGAGTTGCCACGGCCCGAACCTTGGGTGTTTTTGGCCGCGAAGATAGTTTGAAGATCGACTTAGCCCTACTGGGTGTAGAACTCGGTATGGGATGAATAGAGATGGGCGCGTCCAATGCGGCAGATGACACAACCGAATTCCTGGAAGATCCAGATGCTAATAGTAGAGACAACCGTGATGCACTATGACTTGCGATGGGCGACGAAAGTAAGGACAGCTGTGATGCTGCAGCGGAAGGAGCCTGTAGAGAAACCAGAGACGTACTCCGGAAGGATGTGATAGTTGAAGCAGATTGGGGAATAGGCGGCAATGTGTCATCCACCGCGGTGGCGCGGGAAGGAATTCTCGATAATGAGATAGTCGGCACCGGTGGTACCGCCTCCCCATTGCCCATCGCACCATCGGCTGCGAAAGACACACGTGATGCGCCGAATGACGTCCGAGTAGGCGACACCGGGAGCGGAGGAACCTCCGCCAAGGACGACACTGGTGGACGCTGAGATACAAAAGAAGCACGGGATAAAGAGAATGATGCCCGCAGACTGGCTAGGGATGATTTCTTTCCAATCGTCTTTGCGGGTTTGATGACTCTTTCGTCTGTATCCGAGTCGTAGTCATAGTCATAGTCAGTCGAGACTGTGACATTGCTATCTGAACGACCTGGTGAGAGTTTCGAGATGAAACTAATAAGACGGGCGCGCTTGCGCGGGGTTTTCACCTCCTTTGATATCTCTTTGTCCTTTTTGCCCTTTGAAGGAGTTCTAGACCTCAGGAATGTCCCCGAGGGTGTCGGGGTTGGATCGGAAGGTGAAGGAGTTAGTGATGCCGTCGTTGCAACTGACCATCTGCTTTGCAGGTCTCCCGAGCTATTAGTGGACGAGCGTAAGCGCTCAGATTGTGCGGCATCATCATTTAGGCAATCCTTCGAGTCCGAAAGGGTGGCGGGATATACTGTTAAAGAAGGTGACGCAGAAAACGCGAATTCAGGCGTAGAAGCAGGAAATATAGTGGTACTCGGTGATACGGGGAATGCGGCTGATGAAGGAGATACGGAAAACGCAGTTGTCGATGGTGATACGGGAAGTGCCGTGTCGGATGGAGATCTCGGAAATGAATCATCACCGCGATCCTCGGAATGAGGTGCCTCGGGGAAGCGTTCAGCATCAGGGGATGCTGGCAGCGCAATATTTTCCGGTAAGCAAGGAGCGAAGGTCGCACTCGCAGGCGACGCAGGAAAACTAGTGCAGGGACTCGTAAGTGCAGTTTCGCGAGAATGGGCGTACGAGAAATTAGAAAGCGTAGGGGACGGGTATCCTGAATCACGATCATCATGGACCGGTGACAGGAAAGAAAGCTCTTGTTCATCCTGAACTTTCATATTTAATGATTCCATGCGTCGGAGGAAAATCGGATCGGAACGCTTGAGGTCTGAAATAAGTTCGTGTTGGGTGTCGCCGTGAACGATTACGGAAACAGGCAATGGTGGTGTAAATATATCTTGTGGTTGGCTCTGATCAGACGACAACGTGCTTGTGAAGGAAGGCAGTCGCGAAATGCGCATCGATGAGGACCGTGAGCGCATGACACGTGACGAAGTGGACTGCGTTGTGGACGTCGCTGGTGAGGGTGGCGGAGGAGACGGTAAAGGCTACATAAGCAACCGAATTTTAATTCGATAAATAGCGGATCAGAAATGGAAATACCTTGTCCATGTTCTTGCGGGGAGTTGTAGAACTGGACTGCATTTTCCAGTGAGACATTTCCTGCACGAGGAAACGAAGTGCACGCTCCCGTTCGCGCTCTTCCCTGACCTCGTCCTCAGCATGAGCCTGATTAGTAGGGGAGATGGGGAAAAATAGAGCATCGTAAGATGGACAAGACTCTGGTGTTGAGGAAGATTCTACCGATGAGCGCGGTAGGAGGGGAGAGTCGGGTCTGTCTGAACAGAAAGTACGGTGGGCTCCCAATGAGGAAGACGGTGAAGGTGAAGGAACCCGGGAACAGCCGAGAGAGGGACTATCATCTTCGTTGACTCGGGTGTCTGACTCGGAGAAAGCAAAATCATACTGGTGCTCTATCCAAGAGTGGACACGGGCGTTGCGTGTAGTTGAGTTATCGGATAATAGCTGACGGAGGAGGGCGGTGTAAGCAATGTCATCTTCAGACATGCTGGCAGTCATGATGACTGGGGACGAAAATGAAAAAGGGAGAACCGAGTCAGTCCATTTTATTACAGGTGCGGCAACTTGCATGCGGGCCTTTTCGTTAGGAAAATCACATAAAGTTTTGTTCCAAAAAAATGCGGGTTAGCTAAGATTGGCCTTCCGATCTTTAGATCTGTAACGGTGCTGCAATATTATTTTGGCTTCTAGACTTTCCATTTTCGGATTCTCAGCTTCCGAAGCTAACATAAGCGGAACCCCTCAAATTTATTCAATTTCTCTGTCTGGTCTTACTACACCCCTGCAGAGAGAAGGTTCGGCAACATGTCGCATCCCTCTGACCATTCAACTTCTTTCCTCGTCGAGGGAATGTCATAGTCGACAGAACCTGCCATGAAAAATGAACCAAGGCAGGATTTCTTTTACCGAGGACTCAGATGACCTCCAACAAGCGGCTGTCGGGTGCGATAAGCAATTGATGCGGATGGCAACAGTCTACACACGGCACTTCAATACTCCTCAACCCAAGCTTCCAGCTCGTAGTGTGTACCTTTCCCAAGCCTTGGTCTTCTGAGATACACGCAGTGGGCAAATCAACACCCGCCCTGACCTGCCCTGACTAGCTATAGTTTCGGCCTCGCAAACAGCGGTGACTTCTATTCACGACCCGTCTCGCATCAGCACCTTGAAAGTTTTTAAGCTCACGGCGCCTCAAGCTGCAAATATTATCATTGTCATCTGTCCCCACAGCGATCAACTGTGGGGTCCTACAGGGTCTAGTTACACCCAACGTCCCTTGCAACATTGCCTCTCCACTAATGACAGCTCTTGAAAAGCCCTGAGAAGCTTGTGGGTCCACGTAAGGAAGCCGCTTCCACTCGATGCCGTTCGGTCGGGTCCGCAGCGGAAAACATACGTGATGGTCCAGTGTCCACGATTATTATATATCTCCCTTACTAGCTAGTCCCCCCGGTTCACCTGCTACCAATGAAATGCTATCTTGTGATCGCCGTTTCGCGTTTGTTACAGTCGGTTGAACTATGTCCTGCGTTTATTGAGGCACCACTTGGCACTTCCGAACCCCGCCAGTACTCGCTGGTGAGTACGTTACAAAGGCAATGATTATGAACAGGCTACTATTGCATTTTGACCTAGAAATTCAGAATACAGCAGCAGAACAAAATTGCCCTTCTACAGGCGACGGTCCGCGTACTCCAAGCGACAGTTTCGAGGTGTCGGTTGGAACACGCAAAAATTTTTAGGTCCGCTCAAGTTGACATGTGAGTTATGCCATCATTACGACTATCTCAAGCGGAACTTGTTGCTGATCATTTCGTGATTCCATTCCCGCCTACGGTCAAAGTAAGCATATTTAACTATCTACCCTGACAAGTGTTTGCCGCATCATATGATAGGCTCTACGGTGCTTTTCTTGGTCAAGACATGAAATGTTTTTACTGCAAAGAGCACAGCTATTGCGACTAACCAGGTTCCGCAACTCGGTAGGGACATCATTACTATAAAGTAATCACTCAGGATTGCCCCCAAGCGCAACTTATTGCTGATCATTCCGTGATTTCATTCCCGCCTAGTCAAAGTCAGTAGATTTATCTACCGTGACAAGTGATAGGCTCTGCGGTACTTTTGACAACGCTTGGCCCGAAGACATGAAATGTCTTTAATACAAATAGCACAGCTATTACAACCAAGCATGTTCCGCAACTCGGTGGGGATCGTGTCATCACTCAAGACTCAAACGTAACTTATTGCTGATCATTTCGTTGATTCCATTCCCGCCTACCATGAACTTCGGCCAAAGTAAACATATCTGACTACCCTGACAATTGTTTCATTATCAGGACCATGTGATAGGCTCCACGGTGCTTTTGACGATGCTCGGCCAGGACATGAAGTACCTTTAGTGTAAAGGGCACAGCTATTGTGACCAAGTTCCGCAACTCGGTAGGGATATGAATCTTTTTGCGCATCCAATAAAATCATAGCTAAGGCATGCGATGAAGATACGTAGTTCTGCACCACAGTTAGTTTGACCCATCAAGGCGGTCACATTCATAAGCAGAGCTCGAAGAGCTGCTTTTCCCTGGCTGCGACAGAATTACGTAGTACATGTTGTTCGGACCCCAAAATCAAGATGATCAACATTTCGATGCTCTGCTCTTTCATATCCATGTCACCATGTGTTGACTGGATGGATGACACTACGTGACTACAATTCAGTCTTTCTCCGTCGTACATGTCAGCCTCATAAGCTCACACGCTAAACATGGCTTGCACGTTGCGTGATCCAAACTGTTGAAACCCCTTTAAAACTAGCTTTCGGGTTGCTGGAGATGGCTCTTCGTTCTCGAGCGGGTGCCACTCCGGATCTATCACGTGACTATGAAACGTCCGCGGACCTAATTCTAGGTAAGCAATTCGTGTAGGCCGTTTATCCAGGAAATTAAAAGGCCTTGCCGCTCATCACGTTTGAGCTCTCGCACTGCGATAGTCGCGGGTCGACTTGAAGTGTAAATTCTATGTGATCACGAAAATTACTGTGAAACATGAATTTATGTTACACACTGTTAGGCCTAGAGCTTCCTCGAACACACACATAAAAATTCTCTCTCTCAGGCTCTGGACTCTGGAGTTAGATGTGATTCCGCCGCGTAGATGTGAGTACTAATCACATCATCAGCTGAGGCACCGATATGAGCCACAGTATAACTTGTTGATCACTCTACTCGGGGATAAGGACACCAAAATAACGCAGTCCTGGACGGAAATTCTCTTTCTGTGTGGCTTCTACCCGCGAAGGAAACGGATTGCTGAAATTCGCTTCAGATATAAGAAAGAGTTGGTATTGATAGGTACTGATGGGCCTGGTTGCAGACGGTGCAGAACCTAGATCGCCGAACAGTGCCTCGCAGAGAACTCGGGTTTTTACGAGTTTCGGTCTTACAACTGAGGGTTCCGACGTTGCGACAGCCACTATCTTTGGCGAGTCCATTATACTTCCCTCGGAATCGGTCTCCACGCGAAGGGTCAGTCCGAAAATAGCAACCAGTAGGTCGCATCGAAGCCAACACCGACTTTGGTGGACCTCGGAACGTCATCATACGGGGTTAAGTTGAAAAGACCAGCAACCTGAAGGACTTCTTGAAGCCTGTCATCTGATGTCGACCATGCCGACCAATTGGCTTGGGACTAAAGCGAGAATCAATGAAAACTGTGGATAGGTAATAAAGAAGAGATGTCAGTCTTCCTCGTGTGGCCAACCTAGCTAGGAGACTAGGTTCCCTCCGAGACATACAAGGTTTGTGAACACACTGTGCATTGCCCTAATGAGATAGCGAACTGCGCCTTGATAGACGGAATTGGGGTTGCAAGTGCAAATCTAGCATCTTCAGTAAAATTTTTGTGCCGAGCGCGCACTGCGGCCACCACTTGATCTGTGTGCACCGACGCGTAATTTCATCTAAGTCCTATCATCGCACTAGTACTCCTCTGAACTAGTAATGCACTGAGTCTTGAATATAAATGAAATTACGAACATTGCCAAGAGCCGAGACTGATTTAATGGTGCTCCGAAGAAGGATTATTGTATAATAGCACAATTGACTCGGAATATGGGCGGCTGATGGACAGTCTCAAGGTAAATATTAATGTTGGATGTGGTGGCGTTTTATTTGTAAGGCATCGCATTTGCCTTGTGAGTTGATACGAAGCTGAAATCAAGTGGGGGACCACGTTGTGACGGTGGCGGGGACCGCGGGACATGAGTTTGACACGATCGGCGTGAATCTCCGGGTTGATTACTAATAACAGTCAAGTATAGACCCTACGATGTAGTCACACTTGACATAAAACAGTTAGGACGAGGTGCGTTATTAACGCGGATTCTTCCTATTGCTCTCTTAATCCCAAACTCAATGATAGTCGTACAGGTTATCATGATCTTAGTCGGGACGGCGTTTGTATCGCACAGTTTTTTGTCGCTTGGCACAGCTGCTACTAGCGACTACGCGTCTTCGATCAATGCCAGATTGAACTTTCATTGACGGCGCTCGCAAAACTCTAAAACATGATTTTCAGGCTCCAGCCTGAGGGCGGTCTATATAGTAGCTGCTCTGTCAACTCCATCATGGTCACCGTGTTACGGCTCAGGGACTGACTACTCGATCGACATCTGGCATTGATTTCTTCCAACCCCATACAATGATAACGCTCCAGGGCCTGGACTCTGACATTTATCAAAAGTGAGCTCACCTCAAAGCTCATCTCCACATCGTCTCACTGCATATCGTTATTAATTGCAGTATGTAAACACTTCGGTTCTTCACACTATCACGATGCCACGGAAGGTCATCCCTTTACATAGTGTCGAAGCCAACCTTGCATGGACTGAAAGCTGATCCGATGACAGTTCCTCGTAACGCGTAACATGAACGGTGATATCCATGATTGCTTCTCAACTTCAGTTCTGTCAACTAGTTGAAGATATCTCTCGAACAAAGAAACGCACCTTTCCTCATAAGCAACTGCTTAATTATAATTTCTCGCAACACTTAATATGAACGGTGATGTCCATGATCACTTCTCACCTTCAGTTCTGTCAGTCTCGAGCGAGGAAACGCGTCCTTCCTCACAAGCAACTGCTTAACTATAATTCCTTCTGCTCGGTAGTATACCTTGAACCGAGGAATGCCAATCACGGGATACTGGCGCCAGTGTGTCGACAATTCAAGGCTTATCGAGCTCCCATTTTCGACGTAATCCCTGGACTGTCAGTGTGCCACCCAACTCGGTAAGACATACAAGGGTCCGCCAACATTACTCATAACCGTTTCTTGACGATGTTCAGCGTAAACATTCAGTAATCGGTGGCCTCACTTGTTTAGTGATGACACTTCCCTGCGAAGGACCTACTTCGTATGATTCAGCCAATAATAACGTGTTCGTGAGCGTTCGACGTTCAACCTTCAACTGTCACTGACAACAACTTTCCTGTGCTTGCTCGCCCGATGATTTGGCATGATCCAACTTGAACGAGCTCCGACTCCACTACATCAGGCAGGTCGCCGCACTAGTATGCATTACAGGGACAAAAAGATATGACGGAATATTTTTTCCCTTCCGTTCCAGATGCGGGCAGCCTCACGTATTCCCTGTGCTTCTTCAGCCTCCGAGTTCAATACCGGAGTCGCAATTAATTATGTTCGGCACGCACTCGCAATCGTGATTATAACAGAAATCTTATCGCTCTTCGCTTCCCTCGACTTTACGGTGCTCTCTCAGATGTTTGCGGTCATCCGTTCTCATTGCCGGCACCGATCCACATCGTGCATCGACGTGGCATCATGCCATGAAACACTTATCTCACTACAAGGGGCAGTCCTACGAATTCCGAATCGAAACCTTGATTTTGCCATGCTCCCAAAAAATATTGCCAGATTGAGTTCTGCAAAATTTCGGCGGGGGGCTTGAAAGGTTCAGAAATATTCAACTCAACTATGTAGGATGATCCCATCATGATTAGTAAGTTCATCAGTGTCTCTAAGGGTGCTTGTTGTCATACCCTGCAGTTGTCAGGGAAAAGAGAGCAGCTCCCTGTTTCGTGATTCAACCATCTGTAGACCAACCTAGTATGCTCTGCATGACAAGCGCACCCTGAGGGTGGCATTCACAAAATGATTGATACCTTGCCCAAAAAAGAATCATCATTCTCTTGATGTGACGCAGATAGTATTTGCAATGGAAGTTCTTCTGCAGCTCCTAGGCTCCCTAGGTCTATCATTCACATAGCCTCAATACCAATTCGTAATCTTGACAGGACACTAATTGGCACTGGACAAAGGGCCGACCAAGAAGTGGTGTTCCAAACAGAATACCAACGTCTGGGCTCGATTGAAAATTAGTATACAATAGCCGCACCTAAGGAGGCCGAGTAAAACAAAAACAGCAAGGATTTCAAATCATATACCCGAGAGAACGGCCACGTACCAAATTGCTGCGATCTCCCCAACGATCAGAAAAATCTCTTCATGATGATCAGGAAGGTTCAAGACAAAACCATAAATTTGAATACAAGGCCCATCAGAGCACCCGTATGTGAACCGAAGCCCTCCGGGAGTGTGGACCGAGTCCCTCGTCTCAAATTCGAAATGGAGGAAGTTCGGGAGATAGATGTAAGGCGCATGGACTCCTATGGACTTCATGGTCACCGGCGTCTCGTGAGGCAATATTGCAAAATGAGATATGATAGGAATCATAAGATGTGATCCCACAAAGTGAACTGCCACGTTGCAATCGTCGTTCGTCATGGGTCCCCCACGGGGCACGCGGAAACATATGGATCTGTATGTGATAAAGATAGCCAGAACATTGAATTTCATGTAACAGTCTCGAAGTACCAGAACTTACTACAGTCTACTCTAGCCAACTGGGTGCATTATACCACCAGTGACAAGTGAAGGTGAGTCCAGGACTGACCAGTACTGTCGCCGACGGTTGACCTCACCAAATGGCATGGATTGCTCACCGGCGTGCAATTTTTTTTACCTTGACATCCACGCATTTTGGCTCAAATTGAAAAAAAAATTGGCCATAAGTCAACCATATAGGTTTACAGAACCCTCAATCACTCACATCATGACACATTCTTAGAGTTCCGACAAATCTAGCTTCAAGTTCGTTGTCGTGGTTCAACAAGTAGTAGGATGACTAAGCGCGTATCACAGGACACACAGACTTGACACTGACCCCAGACAGCGCGCGCTCATCACGGTCGGCGACGTGTGGGCAGCGAAAAACTGGAGAAATGTGTGGGCGGGGATACATAGTTTACATAGCTAAGCAAATATTCTTGAGTCAGATAAAGCGAGAAATGCGTGCCGTCATCATGAAAACAACTAAAATGGTGGCACCATGCCAGGGAAACATGATTTGCTGCAGAGTGCTACAGAGCACTCTGTAGTACAATCCAACCCACTGATCGGCGGCTGTCATGCCCTGCCCCCTACAAAAAGAGGTTCCTGCCAGCAAAATGTTCTCTATGAGACAATAAACTCTCTGGAATGTCATGGGGCGCATCGCTTCCGAATCCGAAAGGCAGGGCCGGTTTTTCCGAATCGAAGCACTTTTGTTTTCAGCATTGACGTGAACCATTGAATATACGGAGACACACCGAACGTGTTTTGTAGTGAAACAAAATCGCGCCGAGACCTGGGATAGATTCTACGTACTGTAGTTGGCTACTATTTTTCCGCATGGATAACAGGTCTCTTCCTCCTCCCGAGCCGGCGTACGGCAGGTCAGGGGGGGGGGACGTTACACCCAGTGAAAATCGACAAGAAATAGGCAGATATGGCATGTGTTGATATAAATCGAAGAAGTTTAAAATTGAGCTTGTAGATTCGATCGTCATGTTTCGAAACAAACGGCACTTCCGAGACGCAAGAGGTCGAGGAACTTTTGGTGTTTGATAAATTTTCGTTCTGTTGAATTGGATACACGCGCTCGGAAATTCTTCCGTGTGGCCCAGAAAGCAGTATTGATACATATTGATAGTACTGAATGAGATTTCGCTGTTAGTAATTGTTATTAGGGTATAGTAGGGTCCTCGTTCTGCCCGCTATCCCACCTCTGGTACCTCCCTCCCGTTTCCCGGACCACCCCTGGGACTGCGCCAGGATCCTGCTCTTAGTCATTAACGTCGGCGCCATCGCTGGCTTGCACCATCGAAATAGGACCAAGCTAAAAAGACTTCACTAGTAGAAGTCATAGAACGAGCATGATCCTACTCACCCCCGCCGCGGCCTTTTTCTTATATTCCCAGTGCACTATCATTACGTGTCCTCAGAGTGAATGCAAAGTTCTGCCCTCCTTGATGCTAGTTGACATGTTGCCCCAATAGAGGACAAATGATGTAGCACTTGCTGGTTCACGCTGGTGGCCATGCGACAATGCACATGACATCAGGGATGATAGGGGGACCACCAGGCGAGGAACTGGTCGGTGCTAACCGCGGACGATTCGCGGAGCGCGCAACAAGAGTTTGCCATCGCACGGATGTTGAAGATAGGCTGCTTCTCCGTTTCAGAAGTTCAGAGCAAACTTTACAACAAGAAAAGGTACTATACCTATTGTGAAAGCGTGACTTCACGCGCGCATCTATAAGTAGCCATGAATCCATCAGAAGTTAGTGCCTCATCACAATGATTTTGGGTATCTCGGCAAATACCATGTTCGTAACGCCATCGACGTCACCAACATCCACATTCCGAAACTCTGAATCGCTGCTAAGGTATCCGAGGAGGCGAAATAGCGGGGGTTGTGATGCAACAAATTGGCGCCAGAGTAAGAGCGACTTGAAGAGACGGCCGGAAAGATCAGGCAAGAAATCAGAGAGAACCGATCATCGTGACACGATTAGGAAAAGAAACAGAAGGTCTTCAGGTGCAGTGATATTTACCAGTTGATTAATCCTGATTCATGTTCGCGAGAGTTTCGAGGGAGAAGTTGACCATTGTGTTAAAGATACAGCCATTGCCCGATTGTATACACACACGGCAGTAATGGCAGGCCTCAGCGACGCAATCTCTGGCTGGACCAAGTAGAAAATGAGTTCGTCCGGCGCAGAAACGGCAGTCACAGTGAGGGAATCAACTGCTCGTCGCTCTGGGCTCGTAGGACGAATGGCATGGTGGGCAGGTGAAATGGTTCAATTAGTGTTCAATTGCACTGATTCGGAATAAAGCAGATGAATGGGGCACAAGTTGTGGACTTACACAAACAATACGTACATGCACAACGCATGCATATGTCACGGTCAAAACAATCATGTGATCGAAGTCTGGACGTGTAAACACTGCAGTAAAATTTCTTAGATTTTGCACATCTCTATCCACCAGCTCTGCGTCATGATCAAGATAAGAGTACAAGTTCCTGATTTTTGCGCGTCCTCAACAACATATTACCGTACACGCCATTGTCAAACAAATTTCCCAATGAAAAAACATGAACATTCAATCCTCATACACAATGTCATAAGCCATGTAATCCGTGTGCAGCATACAAATGATTGAGCGGGTATCATACATGTGAAAGAGCTGCATCAAAACATCAAGTCAGCACTCCCGCAAGTCATACAAACACTGAGGTGCGTACTTACTCCGTGTGTGTTCTCAAGAAGATTCTTGCGTGCTGGAACGCAGGAGATCGTTCAGCACCCTGACTACCGTGCCCGCAGCTTCTCGCACGATATCTCTATCGCTCTCCTTGACTTTTGGCAGTAGCTGAGTCTCGAACCGATCAGGATGCCATCGTCTGATGTTCTCCTTGATGCGGTCTTTAGGAGACTTGTCGGCAGGATGCAGAGACGATAACATGTAGGCCGTGATGTAAGGGGCTGTCACATCATCGGGGCCGCTTGGCCGTTTGAACACAGGCCACGGGAAATCGTCCCATATCAAAACGCCCAATACACCAGATATCTGCAATTTATCCCACTGACCACGGTGGTGTTCGAAAAGCTTGATAGTGTCCTGCTTTCCCAAGGCCTTTCCAGCCTTCAAGAGTCTTTCCTGCTCTAACTTGGCTTGCTCCCGACGGAATTGTTCCTCGCGCTGCTGAGCCTGTTCAGCCTGACGACGGTGGAACTCAGCTTCTGAAAAAGGGGTAGGACCGGGTGTCGATTTGGTGTTCTGCTGGGCTGATGGCGTTGGTGGTTTAGGTGTGCTCGGTGACTGCGAGCTAGCTGTCGAGCTCGGTCGAGTCGAGGACGTCCAGGCAGAACTGCTACGACTAGTACCGGTCGATCCAGAGCTGCTCCTATCTGTGGGCGGACTTGGTCCAGGCATGCTACGGTCGCTACGATTAGGGATTGGCCAAGGTCCAGTCGAAGACGAAGAAGACTGAGATTGAGAAGTAGCCATCTGGGGAGGTGGCGTGGGTCGACTAGTCTCCGGTGGATAATAACCCCAGGACTCCCATTCAAACCTTTCCTGTCTCTTCTTCTCTTCTGCACGCTGGCGGCGTATCTCTTCTTCGCGCTTCCGAAATTCATCCTGCTGAACCTTCTGCTTGTCGTCTGATTTGCGGATCGCCTCGGCCTCCCGGCGAAGCAACTCTTCCTCCCGTCGCGCAAGTTCCTCCTCCTTCCTCTGTATCTCCTCCTCTTTGGCGCGTGCCGCCGCTTCTTTGAGCCTAGCGTCTTCCTCCTTGCGTTTAACTTCATCTTCCTTGCGTTTCGCCTCCATAGACTTTCGCGAAATCTCTAGCGCGACACGTCTCTCTTCTTCTTCTAAACGCCTCGCCACTTCCTCCTCCTGTTTTCGGAGGTCGTCTGCCCGTTTCCTGGCATAAGCCTCCTGTTTCTTGACCGCCTCCTCTTTCATCTTCGCAAGCATCTCCTTCTGCTGGATTTCGTTCTCCTTGCGTTTGGTTTCCTCTTCCTTCTTCCTCGCATCCTCCTCCATTTTCCGGATCTCGAGCTCTTTGCGATCGGCCTCTTCCTGTCTCCGCCTAGCTTCCTCCTCCTTGTGTTTGATCTCATCCTCCTTCCGCTTGGTTTCCTCCTCCTTGCGTTTAGTTTCTTCTTCCTTGCGCTTGAGCTCCTCCTCTTTCAGCTTAGCCTCCTCCTCCCGTCTCGCATCATCCTCCCTCCTCCTCAATTCCTGCTCACGCCGAGCAACCTCCTCCTCCCTCCTCCTCAAACTTATACTATCCTCTCTTTGACGTATCTGACGCTCATCATACTCCCGCCACTCAGCATCCTCAAGATCCATATCATACTCCCTCTCCGACACCTCATGGTGCGTATGAACAACAGGCCGAGCAGTATAATACCCACTCTCGCCCGCATTATACCCATAACGCATGTCCTGCGAGGACATTCTCGCGCGTAAGTTGGAAGACTGCCAACTGCGGGGGATTTCTTCTGGTGTCTGGGGAGAGCGTGAGGTCTCGTAGCGGGTGTCGTACGGCGAGCGTGAGGGACCATTCCAGCCTTTGGGACTCGGGCTGGACTGGAAACCGCCATCGTCAAACGTGAACGATTTCTTGGTCGCGATGGGTCTGCTGGCTGAGGGTGGGGGGCGAGCGCTGTCTGAGGAGCGGGTGTAGCTTGGGCTGTCTGCGGGGCGAGAGTATGCGATGGGAGCTGTAGAGCTTGTGCTCTCCAAGGGGCGTGTGTATGGGATTGCGGAGCTTATGATGGGTGCAGATATGGGCGGTGGGTAACGGTCGTCTAGCCGCTGAGTAGCAGTTGCTATGCTAGCGCGAGCTTCAGCATAAGTGTAGGACGTCGTTCTCTCTCTATCTCTCGCCCTATCTATGGAACTCCACTCTTGTTCGATAGTTGAAATGCGCTCTCTTTCTCTCTCCAACGCACTGGGTGTGATATCGTGCGGTTCGGAAGAAAACGGGATGTTGAGCACTGATGGTGCCCGATAGGAAGAGGTAGTGCTCGCCGTGCTTCCACGACGCGCGATACTGAAAGTATGAGACATCTGAGCGTCTTGTTCGGGTGTGATAGAAGGGTGCCAGAATTCTGGGAGCTGTCTAGTAGAAATGCTAGCTTTGCGGCGAAGACTTCCGCGTCTGATGCTGTCCTGAGCATCGGTAGCTGAACGAGCAGATCTAGGCATGTCGTCTAGTTCGTCGATGGTGGGTGAAGGCTTTGGGCGCTCAAAACCTCTATCTGTGGTATCCAACGTAGATGGTGGTTTGTATGAACCCACTCCAGTACTACTAACAGACCCGGCACGAGCCTTGCCGGTATCGCGAGGTGGTGGTACGTGGTCTTCCTCAAACTCCCGACTAGATAAACGAGGGAAGTAATCTGCCTCGTGCTCTAATTCCGCGTGCTCGTGTGGGGTCCAAATATGTTCTGGAGAACGGTTAGAACGGGATATTGAAGGATCTGTGATAGGCTGCGAAGAAGAAGAATGAAGAGCTTTATCTTTGCGTTCTTTTTCAATCTTGTCTAGGATGGCTTGTTGCTCCTTTATCATCGTATCTGACCATTCTTGATCCAAGACCTGACCGGCAGCCCAACGGCGTTCTTGGCGTTCACGCTCTAGGGCGATACGGAATTGCTCCTCGGCAAGATTACGGATGTTCTTCATGGTAGCGAGGTGCTCCTCGGTCAAGCGTTCGCGCTCAGGAGCGCTGACTGGGGCTCTCTTGAGGGTGTCATGTAGGTTCTGTTTAGCTTCGTCGACCATGGAACGCAAGTTGCTCTCAATATCGAGTTTGAGGCGACTCTTCCATTGTTCATCAGGCTCGAAATCAGCAGGGGATTGATTGGTAGATGATTCAGTGGTAGTTTGAAACAGGGTCGTCATGACGTGCCTGTAAGAGATAGATCAGCAAAGTGCGACGAGATTGAGTAGAATAGTTTGAGTACACTCGAGGAGAGTCGCTGGCTTTGGCGGATTGAAGAGGATAGTGAAATGGAGTTGGAAATGATGTGAGATGACCTCGAACACTCTGTTTAGAAGACGGCTAAGTGTGATTGCGACGAGCCTGTGATGTGATTACGCCTCGTGTTGGGGCACGCGTTGGGGAAGTTTGAATATAATATAGGCGGACGGACTTACGCAGCTGGTAGAGGACCAGCAGCATTCACGATGAAGCTGGTAGATAGAAAATCAGGGTAGTAGAGGGCTGAGAGCAGATATGATCAGTGATCACTAGACATGAGGATGAGCTGATTTTCGATTATAAGACTATGTACGTTTAGATCATTTGATCTGAGAAGAAGAGAATGCTTACCCCGTTACTAGAACGTAGATTTCTGGCGTTACCAACGGTTAAGCCGATGATGTCGAAACTGCACTGCTAGAGCAGAGCAGTAGAAGAGAGCTCGATGAGCTGACCACAATTAGTAGTATCCAAGATACCCCACACGCTTATTATCGTTGCATCTTTTTTTTCTCTCGGTACTTCTTACTTTGAAGCCTGATTAAGTCCCGCGCTCACGAAAAGAATAGCATGCACAATATTTCAGAGATGGTTTGAAGGGAATCGAAAGGTTGAAACTGTCACCGAAGTGAGTCATCGGTTGTGGCAATGCATTCACTCGAGAGCCGTGTTACCTCAAGTCACATACTTGGTGGGATACGCTCTCAATGATGGGAGAATTTCTTGATAAAGGGACAGCAACAAGTACTGTGCGCTGTTGTGGTCGGCTTTAAAGCTGAATCTAAATCAGGTTGGCCTCGAGGTAAACACGAGGCTTGTGTTGAACCATCTTCTAAAAAATAAATACTCATACACTGGTAAAACAAAACAAGCTAACTGATCACAGAAGTTGTCTCACCCATGCACCGCTACTAATAATTTCACTCGAATCCCAGGCAGCCGTGTTCAGCCGTCCCTATCATGGATCAATCCTAAACTCGATATCACCTTTTTCTGGAAATTTGGGAATTGCCATCCCTCAGCGCTCCTTATGCTACACGAGTCACTAATCAAACCACATACACCAAAAAATAAACATACATCTTCCCATCTCCCTCTCAGTCAATGCCTCCAAAACGACGAGCAGCCGCAAAGAGCACTCCTGCTCCAGCAAAGCCTCCTGCTCCTGCTCCTGCTCCTCCTAAACAAACGCCACCTGTCAAACAAGCACCTCCCCCTCCTCCACCGCCTCCACCCATCGTCGAATCCTCCTCAGCCAAAGTTCGCAAAGAATGGCTAGATTTCATCTCTACTTGGTATGAGCCACAGAAGAAGAAACTCCTAGACCAACTTACTAAAGAACTCGACGCCAAATACAAGAAATCAACATCTAGAATGCAGCAGAACGCTCGTCACTCAGAGTTGGAGAATAAACTCTCAGAGATCACAACTCAGCTGGCTGAACCCGCTCATGAAGAGTGGAACAGTCGTCTCGCTGCACAGCAGCTCCGTGTAGACGATTGGACAGATATCACAGAACAGGAACAGCAGTCTGTCATCGACGTCTTCAATGCTTTTTATGACGACAACGAAGAAGATCATTCCACAACCCCCTTTGACACCGGTGAAATAGAGGAGCCTATGGTCTCGGCGGTTGAAGAACCTCAACTTGGAGATTCTTCTCCCTTCTTAACAATCCGTCAATCCCCACCCACACCCATCACAGCCAATTTTCAGCTTGTCAATCCATCTTCCTTCTTCACGGAAACTATTTCCCCCGCTAAACAAGCCAGAAAGTTGCCGGAGCTTGCCATGGTACGTCTTCAATTTGTTATCGTGACGTGTCAGCCTGACATGGTGCTGTGCGCAGGACAACCTTGCAACCCTGAACAACCTAAGCACGGGTCGCACCCCAGCTGACACTAGCTCAAGCACTAGCGCAGTATTTGGTTTCCAAGGCTGGGCCTCCGAAGCTGCCTTGGCACTCCCCCAAAGCGCATCCCAATCAAACAGAAATCGCGCCACAGATAACATATCCCGTCAACCATCCTCCACAGCATTCGCATCTTCTCCCTTGTTCTCCTCCCAAACCGCTTCAAACAACTCCCCCCCTCAACCTACATCCATGTCACCCCTAACTGCCACTCGCAATATTCTCCCAGGCCAACGCTACATAGGACCTGTTATCGCCGAAGAGGAAGCCGAGCCGATCGATGAAGAACTTCTCAAAGCCAAAATGGCCGCCGATTTCCTCGAGTTCAAGATGGAAGTCCGGATTCAGATGATCCAGCAATTTCACGCTAAAGCATCTGCTATCGAGATCGAGCTCGCCAGGCAGCTCGAGAGCAGCAATAGCACTAGCTCAAAAGAGAGCAGACTGCTTACTTTGCACGAACACGAGGAGAACATGATGTCGCTTCGCGAGTCCAAGGAGTTAGAGAGGAAGAAGCTGTGTGATAAGGAACGCGATCGGCGGTTGCAGGAACATAGGTTCCTCCAGCAGGCCGCTGCTCAGAAGGCGATTAATCAGACCCGCTTGAACGCGAGCGCTTCGTCTTCCAAGATACCCCCCACCTCCCAGCCGGGATGGACGACTCATGCTGCTCCCAAACTCGCTAGTCAAAAAGAGAACCTCTCCACGGGCAGCTTGCCTACGAAGCTTGATCCTCCCAGCATGCTCAAGAAGTCTGCTAGCGCTCGCTCTCACGATATCATACCTGGCTTCGACGAAGCTGCGTTCGTGAAGGCTCAGGCAGAAGCTGCGAGCTTGGCGAAAGGAAAACAGCCCGCCCCCACCCTCAACCGGCCTAGCGCGCTCAAAAAGGCAGAAATCACAAGTTCGCACGACGAGCCTGTCGAGCCCGTCATTCCATCCACAGCTCCCACTGCACATGCCACAAAGGGCAAGAAGGGCAAGAAGACGCAAGTTGACGCCCAACAGCCCAAAACCGTCACTTTCAACGAAGAGCCCGGTACCGATGCGGAGCCTCCTCCAGCAAAGGGTACAAAAGGCGCTCGGGGTTCGTTGTCTGTGATGATCGAGGAGGAGCCGGATGAAGACGCTGATCCCTTCTCTACGTGGAACCCAAAAACTGCACGAGCTACTACGCCTGCGCCTGCTAAGAAGGGCAAGGCTGCAGTCGTCGCTCAAGAGGTGGTGGTTGAGCCAGTTCCTCTTGTAGCTTCCACTCCTGTCTGGGGTTCGGCAGCGGGGAAGAGAGACAAAGCCCCGGCCCCACCTGCAGAACCTACGGAAGAATCATTCCAGACATGGTCCGCGCCGGGGAAGAATAATAAAGGCAAAGCCCCTATTATACCCGCAGAACCCATGGAAGATCCTTTCCAAACGTGGAACGTGCCTAGGGGTCCGGTGTCGACTAAGAAAACAAAGGTCACTGTTACAGAAGAGGCTGATGAAGAGGCTGGACCGGCTGCTGTTGTTTGGGGTGCTGGGCTCAAGGGTGCATCGGCGGCGGCGAAGAAGGTGGTACCGCAGCCAGAGGCTCGTCGCGGTGCTCAGTCCTCTTCCAAATCTGCTGTGGTCCAAGATGCTGTTGAAGAAGAGGAGGACGATGAAGATGATGATGAGGAGTGGGACCAGATCCGGCCCGCGTCCGCCATACCAGGGAGCCTGGATACTACTAGTGAAGCAGAAAACGACGCATGGGGATCTTCCTACTGGGGAAACCTCTCCAACGGGCAGCCCATCTCACAACCCACAAACGAATCCGCTTCCTATTGGGCCAGCCTCTCCAAGGCGCACACCAATGCAAGCGAATCTGCCCAACACATGGTGTGGACGCCATCAATGGAAGCAGAAGAGAGCGGCGACGAAGAAGATTTAGGCGAAACCATGGAGAGCGCCCTCTGGATGCAATACGCCATCAGCGGAGGCGAGATCCCTGGCTTCGAGGCGCCTGACCCGCAGGAGGACGTTCATACCCATACCCACGCACACGCTCGTGTGAAAAGCACCCCCGCCGCTACTGCTCCGCACAAGAAGACCACCAACGAGCCAACCATGAGTATCTGGGAGCAAGGGAAAGGGAAAAAAAAATCAGCGCCGGCGATCGAGACTAGGATAGAAACGACTCATGCTGCACCACAGCAAGTGTCCGCGTCATCTAGCGCTCGGACGGCTCAATGGCCAAAGGCCAAGATGGAGATGGAGAACTGGGCTTCGCGCCTTGGCCAAAGCTCAGGCTCAGCTAGACATTTGTAATCTTTTTTTCTTTTTTTGTTCGTTTCATGATAAGACGGACGACTTGCAATTATTTTCTAATGCTGTGATCACTGTTTGATTGGGTTTCTTTTTCCGCTATATTGTTTTCGCGGCTTACTGGTTAAGCCCTTGCTTTTATCGTACTAGTTAAACTGTTCTGTTTGTTCTAATTGTCAAGTTTCATGTTGTATCTGTCGTCAATCGATTTGCATCGTTGTTGGTCCTTGCGCGTGAGGAGTCTGAGCGAGCAAACGGGGAAAACGAGGCAGGTCTACAGTGTACGAAGCACTAGGATACCATCTCCGTAGGGACCTCTATAGTACAAATTTCGATGTCCAATGAAAATTCTGTAAGGAAACAAGCAAAAATAAGCAATTTTTCGAAATTTCCCATTTTGTTTCAAATTTTCCCGTTGGAAAAAAAATTACCCCATGCTCCCTAGACCCTGTTCATCTCCCCTGGACCATTCATATGCCTCCTGTGGCAAAGAAAGCTGCTCGAGCAAAGAAGCAATGAGATTGTCGCTGATGGCAAATTCTCAACCGCGAAAACACTGGTTCCACAATGTCTTGACATGTGCGATGTTTTGATCATTCACCGTTTTTTCCGCAAAGCTTGGCATTATATGGATGCTTACTGGTATGTTTACTGTCGAGTAATCGTGCAACGCTGAAGTTTGAACAGTAAAGGACTCGACACACAACAAGCAGCCTTCGCGGTTAAGAAGTACTGCTCCCACCGTCGTGTTGGGTTTGCGACAGATATTTTGACCACGCTGGATGCTCAAATTGCGAGCAGATGGCTTCTGTAGATCATCTGATTCATACTTACTATCGTATACCTGCTCAGTTACCCAGAAATACCATTTCTTGCAACATGTTTCAAATTTCGTTGGAAAATTTTTCAACACCTTGATTTTCAAAATTCTAATGAGATAGCCTTAATCTACAAGTAAAAAGATTGCATTTGTGCTACTCTACGGTACAAAGCGGTCAAATCTCGAGGACTAGATACATTTTCAAGTTCGGGCCAATCCGAGAGGCTGGAAAAGTGCTTCGTACACTGTAGTAACGGGCCATGCATTACATAGCTACGGCGTTATACTGATACGTTAACGGGGGCGTTCTAACGCACATTGAGTGGACCTCGTGCTACTGTCGCAGTATACGTATGGACTAGTGGTTGATCCAATTTCAGAAGGAAGCCCGTTTATAAGGTTGAATTTGAAACGTATCATTATGTAGTCACTTTGCGTTAACTTGAAATTTTTTCGCATCGTAGGGATGGTCCCGAGAGTGGCGTTGTTGGAAAAGTTGGAATCAGTCTGTCCCCGGTCCCGAGCTATGACTCCGCGGGGCTTGGGGCTCTGGACACTATAACATGGAAAACCATGGTATCAGAAGATGAGCAGGCGCCATCCTCAAGTCAATGGGCATTGTCGACACATGTGAACCTCATGGCGAGCGGGGTTCTGTTATTATATTACAACGTTTCCCCGCATTTTGCAAAATTGAGTCATGAATGCCCTGTCGAAGATAACTGACTTTATCAGAGCAAAAGCGAGCGATGAGCATTACACATGGCGCCATCGCACAACAAAAGGTTGGTATCTCGATCCTGAGATTCAGATGAACAAGAGCCGTATGGGAGATCTGTGAGTTAATCTGAGATAGTAGGAACGTTAATGATTTGTCTTGCGGGTCTTGAATGAAGGGAAAGGCAAGTCTTCTGCGCTCAAGCGATCCACAAAATCATACACTGCCTGGTAATCTTCCACGTTATTGAGCTACCAGTCACGAAGACTGCATAGTTTTCAAGTAGTATAAGGCTGATGTACATCCCGGACCTGTATATCTGGGACACACTGCATAGTCAATCGAAAAGCAGTATGATCGAAATCAAAAAGTAAGATAGCAGCGATAGGACAAAAAGAGAATCTGATACTCAAACTACCTTCTTGACCTCCTCTGCAGGTTTCCTCCGCTCAAGGACCTCGACCCACTTCTTCGGGAACCAGCCTTCGTGGCCCTCACGCGTCCGACCTTTCCACCACTCACTCTCCACCTCTAACCGTGGATCTACCTCCACACCAGTACTGGGATCCAATTTTCCCATAATAGCGACGATTTCATTTTCCTTGAGCGCAAGCTCAGATGGAGATGAAGGCGTGAATGGATATAGTGCTCGTGCAAAAGTAAGCGTCGACGGATCAAGGGGACCTAGGGGACCACCAGGACCAATTTGTGCCTGCTGCTGTTGCATCGCACGTTCGTTGAGGATTTTTATAAGCTTTGTCATGGCGTATGGAACGCCAAAGATAGCGAGCAAAAATATAATGATGGGTTTTCGGCTAGGTTTGACAGGAGGAGGACCCATTGGACCATTGACGGGCTTTCCGCTAATGAACTCTCTAAATTCACCTTGTATGCTTGCAGAACTGGGACGGCCCGTGATGAGCTCCTTCATCCACCGTATAAGACCAAATAGGCCTAATACACTGCCCAAAGCATTGCGGAGGTGGCTAAACTGTTCGACGACGCCGACCATTGCAAAAAATGAGCTGTGCGTCGCCATAAATGTAGACTCAAGCATTTGTGCTACACCCGAGAAGGTCTGGACGATAGAGTGGAGGAGGGAGAAGGTGTGTTGGGTCGTAGTCTCGAGGGTCTGCGAAAGGGAAAGATTGTTGGGATCCATACCAGGATACATGCCCATTCCACCCATTCCGGACATTCCTGGCATTGCACCGTACATACTGTTCATGTTGTTCATGCCATATCCACCGTAACCGCCATACCCAGTACCGTAACCGCCGCCCATTCCGCCATAGCCACCGTACATACTCGAGCCATATGGTGAGGAGTACGTGGACCCAAAGCGTGAGTAAGGCGAATATGGTGTATTATATGATGGTTGTAAAGAATTGTATGGTGCAAGGGTAGATGTAGATGGATTGGAGAAAGCTGGAGGACGAGCAGGCACTGAAGGGGGTTCTGAAGAAGATAAGCTCGTCGTAGTTGACGATGATGCGGCAGAGATAGTCGTTGCTGGGGCTGCTGCTGCTGTGCCCCGCTCCCAAGGTTTTGGTGGTGATGCCATAGCCGTACTCACTGTTGCCGACGACGACAAGAGACAAGGATGCGTGTGAATATCAAACCGGCTAACGCCGGCTTTCAGGTAGGTCCCAAAATCACATTCAAGTTTGAACTGTAAGTTTATAACCGGCTTTTCCTGAAATTCTACAATATTGTTTCGGGGACAAGCATATTCCTCCCACGTCGCTATTCAAAGGTTTCCCTACTGGCTCTCCGTCTCTTTCCCACCGACGAATCGAACCATCATCCGACGCATTCATTATATCGCAACTGATGCCCAAGCAAGCAAGGCTCCATGTGCGTTTAGAGTGACCCTCGATGACAGACTCTGGCATCAAGTTCTCTGTTGGACGTTCTGGCTTTGATTTTTTCACCATGTGGTCCAAGTATTCAAGTATTGTGGTTCCCAAAGTAGGACTGACCAACAGATGTGCCATTCGCGGAACAACGGGATATCCACCACAATATATATTTAACCATGAGTTCGCCGCCCCTCACTGCAATTTCATTCCTCGTTTAGTCGCACTCCTGGTAATAAAGGTCTGTTCCACGAGACCATCATGAGCGTGCCATCCTGATATTAAGGTTTACCATCTAATGTCTTAAATTGATGCACGCTTCAGTCCTATTGAGTAAGCTAGTGGGTACCACAGGATGATGTTCCCAAAGTGCGTCCTGGAGGTGCTGTGCACCATATGACGGTGGATCCTTCGCGCTCGTCCGATATATCGGTGAGTGCATTAGCGCCTCTCGTTGTCCTTTCTGTTTTGCTGATGTGCTTGATTCCCCGCTTCGCTGACCATAATTCTAAGTAAGAAAGGACGGTCCACTTCCAGATGGTTGGACAATCAGGGTGGAGGCTAAGCTCGATGATGGGTAAAGTCAATAGTCAAGAGATTATGGAGCTGCTTTTGCATGACATGTCCGTGAGCGCTCGTCTTGCGCTGCATGCTAGTGGCAGTGCCGCTGTTTGAAAGTGACCTCAGCTCGTGAGTCCGTCTCGTTCTTGTACACTATACATGATGGTGCGCAACAACACTCCCGGACATTCCAAGTCATCGATACACCATATGTTACGGTGTGAGTGTCTGAGGGGCCAGATCTTTATCCTTTAGAGTCGGGCCACCACAAACCAAGTCGCATGGAGTTACGTTCGCATTGGATATCGAGTTCTCTGCACAGAAGTCCACGTTTACCAATGAGAGCCGAGTCCAAGACAGCGGAAACGACTCTGTGGGTGCTTGCCGTGTCTGGATCCTGGGACGGTGGAACAGCCTGAGGAGGTATTGTTGCGGATGAGGGTCGTAGTAGTGAAGTGACTTTGAGAGAAGTAGGGGGCTAGCTATAGCGAGCTGTTAAACAAGGAGAGTACTCTGTGTGACTGAGTATGCATCACAAATGTGGCGAAGACGTGGATTTGTCTGCGGCGAAGTGTGACTGAGATGGATCAGCACGCAGGCCCGCGTCTGAGAAGATGACTGTCATGTCAGTTTGCTGTCCGAAGCGCAAGAACTTGAGAGCAGTGTTTTAGTGACACGGGAAACCCCGTTCTGTCACGTTACTAAGGGCAGCTTGTCCGTGGCTACGCTACGGTGGCAGTACTTGCTATGATATCTGACAGGCTACAGCTGAGCACTACGCAACCCGCATGTAAGGGACGGACTGTTGATCCGTGTCCAAATTTCCGTAGTGGACCGATCATAGCCTATTGGTGGCAGTGTTGCTATGACTGAAATAAATTCGGCTCAAGCACTTAGACTAGGTCACGTAACCTCTCGAGAACAGCATTGGCAATAATTACCTGAAACTTCCATCTCAAATTTGTGTGAAACGACTCAGTTCCAATCTGATTGATTGCCAGTGATGTTCACCATGTCCTTATAAGAGCGTTGGATGAATGATATGTCTTTACCAACGCTAGTATCTTTTTCGTTCACGAAGTTCGCAGATCCAGTATGATCTCACTCTCAAATATCACTACTATTCAACGGTCAGAAATTCTTCACAATCCAATCCTCAACTGTTTTGTAGGTTCGTAGAGTTTCAGAGTCAGATGATGTTTGGGGCACCTCATTATCTTTAACTTTGCTTTGGTTTGTCAGTTGCATCCTCTACTGGAGTGGTATATGACTGGGGTGAGCCGATCACTTCTTATCACAGGAATTGTTAATGATCATTGTATTCCAGCACTGAAATTTGAAGAGGAGGTAAGTTAATACCATTACCGGCGCAGCTATTTCACGGAGACTCATGCTTTTATAGTTTGAACTTGTCTGGGTGAGTTCAAGTCCATCTCAGAAGCACAACAGGCCAATGCGATTCATTCTGGATAGAGACGCAGCTGGTCCCTGATGAATATTCTATATATTTGTGTGAGTAGCTCACATTATAATTTACAAATGCGGTCGACAAGTACTTCGTGCTGATAGTATATATCAGGTGCGCTACATCGGAATACTATTTTCTGTGTACGTTTGCAAGGCTACCAATATGTCACTACACTACACTAATGAAACACCTCGCATACCCAGCATTAATATATTGAGTATGTATTCTCACATATATTATATTCGCTCCTTCTGACCAGCAGCATACAGTAAGTCTCCCATCAATCTCGTTAACAGATGTAGTGAGTGTTCTACCAATCATAGTTCTGTTCAATTAACTCGACTCTGCAATCTACGTAGGAGTGAGTGAATTTCTCAGCCACATTCAAGTTCTTGAATAAACATGACGACTACGACAGATGTCAGCTCATTTAGTGCATAGAGTCCTCAAAGCCCACCAGTAACATGATTTTTCAGGCACTAATCTTTACTTAATGAAGATATGGACACCGGTCATCGTAAATGTCATGCTTGGCGGTGAGCCTTGGGCTCTAGTATCTCCCTTATGTTGACTTTGTTAATATATCACCCAAGTTATCATGATAGCTCGGATACATGCCATGTATCAGCGATCTAAAAGGGTGCTCATCCTTCTCCTTGTAGTATTCTTGGGTTCCATGATTGCCACCGGAGTGTTGGCCGCCATAGGAAGCAGACGTGTTTCAGGGGGTAAGCTTTAATTTGTATGACAGCCATAAGCGCGTGCAACTCACGAATACCAGAGGAGCTCATCATTTCTGGCAACAACATATGCGTTTTTGTCTACAAAGCACACGGCTTTCGTCTGAATCTCAAGACTTGGATACCCACCTTCGTTTGGGAGATCTTCGCCTTTTGTCTTGCAGTTTGGAGTGTCATACAGAACTTTTTGGAATTGCGACGGTCGCAGACAGGATCGGCCATAGGAGATTATCTAGCGGTGTTGATGAAAAGTCATGTGCTGCACTTTCTAGCGTGAGCTGCATGATTCGTTATCATCGTGTTTCACTGAAGTTTCGAATCTACCAGCATTTCTGCTTTGTTGTTCTTTAACATTGGCTCACTGATTCCACATAATTTGGTGCGCTGATCTAACTACTAACTTATATCTGACCGTCCCTTATCATTTTTACAGTACTCATCTGAAATTCAGATATACTTTGGCATTCTTCAAATTATTCAGCCCATTCAGATGTCTGTACTAGGACCACGTCTCATCCTTAGCGTTCGAGATTGTCATGCCAAGCTCGTGGCTCGCTGTGACGAAGGACCTAGCATAACTTCAGTGGCTTTCGGAGGTGACAATGTGTAGTGCGGGAAACGATTTCGGTAATCAACCATGCCATAGTGCTGTGCACGCGCAGGGGGCATGTATATTTTGCATGGAGTTTCGTTATAGTATTTTATAAATGGTGTTTTGAATTGATTTCAGAGTATACATATATGTATAGTGACTGTTTTGTTAAAGCTTGGTATTTCAAAACCCGAAGGATTTGGAAGATAGAGCCGGGTTGCATTGACAGTAATCACATCTAGTATACTAACTGGTGCCACCTCTGAATCCTGGAAAAGAACGGTAGAAAGAGGAGGAGCTAAGAAAGTCAGGCGCAACCTACTTATATGGTTGGGCAGACTCGGAGAGGGTTGCAAGGTCATACAGAAAGTAAAGAAGACTCAGGCTGGAGAAAGTACTAAAGGCATGATACCACTTAAATGAGCTTTATATATTAGTATCAGGTGAGCAAGAAGATGAACAAGTTGAGGTGACCACTGACGACACTCACCAATGCTCGAGTTCTTATTGGTCACGGTAAGGAGTATTTTTGGATCTTTCTTGCCATGAGTTTTTTTTAATCCTTGTTTTATGTCCGGGGGGAAGCCCTATGGTAGACAGTACATGCGGTATGAAATTTATGGTACTATATGGAAATGTCTTGGGTATGGAAGTCCTGTAATCCTGGTCCCGGCTTGCGCGAGGACGGTCAACTTGAATGCCATCTTAAGGCGATTGGGAGAAGGGGGGTGTCTGAGCACTGTTTGGCGTGTTTATTGGGGGTCACGTTCTCTCCAGTGGGCTTACATCACCGAAGGTGTTCGTTAGGCGTTTCAACGTGCGGGCGATGTATTTCAGAAGTGCCTTCAAGTTTATGCTTTTCCTCCCGTTCAGAAGGCCTGATAGGTTTGCCGTAAGTTAATCATGATGTGCTAAAGAAAGAATACCAAATTTTGGCGCGTGGAATCAAGGCAGTCCTCTACGCGATCTCCCCTTCTAGAGCATCCTGTCACGGTATGGTTTCTATGGTGAGTTAACATTTATGTAGGTCTACTCAACGCACTCAATCTCCGAGTTAGTACATCACGCAGGCAATTAAAGAGAGTAGTACTCTCGGACTTGAAGTCGAGCCAAATCGAGAAGTTCTGCACCAAGCTGCAAGCGTAAATCAACCATTGACTTCAGGCCGTGACTAATTCTACGCGTAAGGAGCGGTCTGTATTGCCTACCACAGCTGTGGAGAATGACAACCCTCTCCTTCACGTAAACCCTTGCCGTCTTCTGCTCGCGAAGTCGGCTTTACTGGGACCGCCTCGGCTAACAGCAGCCGATGTACTAGGGCCGCCGCATCAGGGAAGACTGGAGTTCTCTGAACAAGCGAAGGCAAAGAAAGAAAAGGCCGAGTGGTGATCGTAACGACCGTTGTACTCAAGGCAAATCCATCAGTCTCTCCCAGGGATCACCGATCGCATGCAGTCAGACCCTTCAGAACACCCATTTTCGGTCTTTGCACTCTACAGTCCTGAAAAAACGTCAAGGCTACTACGATACAGGTGTTTACCACAGCTGTCCTTATAGACGCTCGTGGTCTATATCGTTTCTGATCCCCTTACCAATATATGGCAGAAGCGATGGTGATTTTTGTCAGTGCGATCTTGGCAAGACAACAATGTCACAACTACATGACAATCGCCCATAACGGCCATCGTAAAACTAAGTCTACTCGTTACGATACTTAGGGTCCATATATTGTACTTATGCGTTGCTCAAAACAATCTTCAGCTACTAACCAACCACATGATCACGGAGGCTTGGTAGTTTAATCCCCATGATGGTGAACTTCGGTTGCACAATTTAATTTCTTCATGTTTGAGCTTAGCCTAGTCTCCGGCTGCCAACGCTTGACAACGCCAATACTACTTCTGACAAGTTGCAACGCCGGTGCATCGACAATTTCTCTGTTCTATCCTAGTTTTCCTCGACTTCGATGAAGTTCATCAAAATCCACAACAACACCTCGCAATATAGAAACCTATCAGCATCTATTATCCGTTAAAGCATTAACATATGATGTGGAAGACCCTAACTATCGCCATCCCTCTGCGGTAAGAGACCTAAACGTCGAGTATTATATAAGTGTGAAAATGTTTCTAAGATGTCCGACACAGTCCAGCTAGAACCTCCATCCTCCAGTGAGTCCCATCACATTATCTGGATCCACGGCACTCCTAATAGAATGGAGACTCGACACAGCATCCCCATACATATCCGCCAAAGCCGTGCCGGGAGGCGCACAATTGGGGTATATCAGTGCATTCGCAACGTTGTGACCAGCGTCTACAGCAAACTGCTTCATGTAGGCAGCGCTCTCTGCACCAAGCTGAAGCATCACCTCGTCATCGTTCGGATCCGTCCACCCATAATACACCTCAATGAATGAGTACCCCTGTCCTGAATCCCGTAAAGAAGGAAAAGCAGACGGTGTATCGGAATGACTGTATAGTGAGGGCAGTAAAGGGACAAGGTCGTATGAGATCAACGCGCCGCTTGATTGCGACAGCTGCTCGCCATAAAACTACATCAACGCTCTGATTAGTAGTGCCCGGACCAGATGAAAAGTGTGATTCACCAGTGTCTGGTTCTTGATCATCTGTAGTATGGACAGCGTGAATTGCTCGATGGGCACCCAGTGGAACATAGTCCTGTCTCCAGGTGAGCCAGCCAAACCAATTGCTGAACACGATATGATTTACCTTAGGCCCGATGTGGCATTCGCAGGTAATGTTTGAATAAAGTTCGAATAAGCCCTCGTCGAGATGTCCTTATCAAAGTGTGGGATTGCCAATAATTCATTGAAAATGCCATCCGGATAAGTCGGCGCATCATAGAATAGGATGTTTGATATCGCTGCCTATCGGAAAATCAGTTACTCGGCTATGGTCCTCACGTGAATCAATGGTAACGGACCACCCCAGATACGTAGTCGGTTGTGCTGTACACACAGGCTTTAGGATCAGTGACTGTCGATACAAAATTAGCTATAGCCGCATTGACTGCACCCCATTGATCCGCCGTGTATGAGATCCGTCCGCCCTGTAATGAATTACCATTAGAATCGTACCAATGCAGAAATGCGGTGCATACCCAGACTTGAGATTGGGTGTATGTCTTCAAAGTTACTGTGGTAACGATTCCCTGCAGCAGATTAGCAAGTGCACCAGCATCCGTGAAGCAACCATCGCGCACAAAATTATTGAATCCTCCCTGTAAAAAAAATTACCGAAAATGAAATGCTGACTATTTGCACGTCAAGACACACTTACCCGAAGGCCATAGAACAAATCTGGACTCGAAGAACTTGTGATATTCGCGACCGTGCCATTAGGCATCACAAGCTCAAAAGATACGACATTGTCGACAGACAAACCGTGTTGGTTGCTGAGGTATGAATATCCTGGCGAGATAGCAAAACGTTCAATCACCGATGCCGGTTTTCTGCGACTAGGTGAACCTACCTCCTCCAAGGACGATGCCGCCGACCCCAACACCAGTAGTCTTCGCTCCTACAACGGTCACGCCGTATTGGTCGAGTTCAGAATAGACATTGTCCCAGATTAACCCCATTCCGATAGTTGCTGTCTGGTCATTCGCGTCGTAAACGACTTCTGAAAATGAAAACAAAGCGATTTGGACTCCGGGGGTTGATGAAAACCCTGGATTTGCTGAATGACCACCACTTTTGACCTTTAACACAGCCGAGTGTAACGATCAAAATGCAAGCCAAAGAGTTGATGAACTCACTGCAAATGGGGTCTGGTTCTTGGCTAATATTTGAAGCTAATCTCAGGGTTAGCAAGCGAAATTAAACTGTGTACTATTCCATAAACTTACTGCGATTCCGAACGTCTTGGGCGTTTGCGGGCTCAAAGGAGCATGCAGAAAATTGAGAATTGGAAGAAGCCCAATGATCGTTGTCTTTGGTGTATTGGGGCGACCCTGCGCATAGCTTAGTACCTCTTGTGGTAATGAGTATTGACTGCACCCACCACTATAATACACTTTGGACGCAAAGGAGACAGCAGCAGCTATCTCATGGCAGGTGACAGTATATTCAGCTTTCTGCAGCTCTGTGGACGCGGAGAGGCCAATGAGGCCTGATATGACTGTGAAAGACAGACTAGAAAGGAGTGTCATTATAATTAGCTTTGACGAGAGAATAAAACATCAAGCGGTTTTCAGCATGACTCTTTAAATCGGAAATTTGGAAGGTATGGGAAGGCCATCACAGAATATAAAGAATGATAGATATTATGCCACATGTCAACCCGCAGCTTCGCATCGTTGATCGAGGAAATCAATTACAAGCAAAACTTTGAATTCCGAGGGACAGGCAAGCGTGAGAGATCCGCAGGGATGGAGGTAAAGATTTTGATCGCAGGCAGGCGGGATGGTAGTGACATCGTGAGTTGGCCTTGACTCGGACAGCATCTGAATCCGAGCAACCCACTGGCAGAACACAAGTCTGGATCCGCATAGACCTTACGTAGACCGGCCAAATCCCGCACTTTAGGAAGCCTGCACTCCCCTCCAGAACACTGTCTGCTCTCTTCGCGTGGGTCGGATAGAAACCTGACGTTGAATCGTGAGCCACAGGATTTTTGTGACATATTGGCCCGGGTCGACAAAGTATTACGAAAGGCCCGTGGCCTGAGATATCGACGTAACACACAAGGATTCAGACTCCTCGGTTCTCTCAGAGATGTCACTTTGTGACGGATTGATCTGGACCACTGAAATGAACGCTTAACTTATTACTAAGCGCTTAAGATTTCAGTAGCGCACTCAATCATCAATGCCACTCATGCAATTGGTGCTCGGACACAACTCGGATATGCTGCAGTAACACAACCAATCAACTTCTCTGAATATTAAAATTTGGGCCATGTTATATTGAGATGCTAAATTATTTATCAATGGCTATCCGATATTTGTTTTGTGTTGTGGATCGAGAGCAATACGTGATAGTTCTTCACCTGAGCTTTTATTACCATCGATGCACTTGAGGAGTGCAGATTCGGATGAATGCACACTCGAGGACACCGATGTTAGCTGGCTCTGGTACTTAGTCTTCCAAGATGTGTTTTCAGACCACTCAAAAATATATCCTATTCTGAGAGATAATCATAGAAGTACCAGCCAGTGCTATACAATCCATATGTAATGAGCGCGCGAATAGTGCCTGTATAAGTATTACATTGAGATAGACCATCATGACTATTACTGAGTTAGTTCGTGATGAGATACGCCCTCCGGTTATAGAGGACAGTGCCCTCATACAACGCCAGTCAAGACAGTAGGCTGCCTCGTTAGACGTGGTGACCCCATGCTCTTCCGAGGCTTACGGGTCCTGGCTTGCGCAGGAGATGACCTGATAATTCGGGGTTGTCCATCCTTCCTAGGCCTCAATGTTTTGTAGACCTGCCATTCCTTCCCCTCGACCGTGATGCTACCGAGGTGCTTGGTGTTCTCTTTGTTTACAAGTTCGCTTTGTATCTGCGGGGCCTTCGGAGAAGGCAACATCGGTCGAACTTGAGGCTTGAACGTGGGGTCAATGATGACAGTCCCATGTGCTCCGAGCATGGGGAGACCTTGAGAATTCAATTTCTCACCCGTAGGTCCAACTCCAAACTCTGATGCGTCTTCTTCCTCTTCGATATAGATAGACGGCTCAGGCGAGGCGAAGTGAACATGCCTTGCAGTGCTTGCACCAGAAGACCCGTCCGCTGCCGGTAAAGTCGAGTTCATCTCCCTTGCCACCCGTTCTTTTTCCTCGCGGCCGAGTAATCTTCCGACCTGAGTCAAAAAGGTCTCGTGGTTCCTCTGAAACTCGTGCTCGAGAACTTGCTCTTTAGTCAAGTTTGTAGCAGAGCCGATGGGCTTCTGTAATACATATCTCATGCGAACACCAGAGCTAGTCTGCTCGACAGTGCGAGTGCCAAGTGAATTGTTGTGCCAAAAGTTGATCCCTTTGAAGCCGATGCGCTCAGGGCTGCGCTGAAGTGGCTGAGGCCTCTTCACGGGTGTGCGAAGGACAGAGCCCGCGTCGAACGCATGCTGGGTCATAGGAGTCTGAGGAAAGCACGTCGTCGTGGTGCTCGGCGGTGGTGTAGCGTCCCCTTCCTCGTCTACATCCATGTAGTTTTCTTCTTCATTATCGTCCATGTTGTGTTCGGGATAGATCCAGCGCGTATGAGCGCCAAGACCAGTAGCAGTTTGAGTGATCAAGACAGATGTGCCATCTACATCACGACATCTAAGATAATAGCCGTTGCTAACCTTGGTCTTGCGTGTTACATTGGAATTGCGAGATGCCATTGTGGAGTATCCGAGTCGCGATGTGTGATAGGGGTATGAGTACTTGAGTAATGAAAGCTAGGAAAGTGTTCAGTAGATTCGGAAGTAGAGTGTGATGGTTAACCTGGAGAAGCTCGTTCAGCTACTCAAATATGTTTCCTAGCGGGTGCTTTGGCAGAAGTGGATGAAAGAGTTCTTTGAGCTTTGTCTGGCTGCTTTATCCATTCTTTTATCTTCGCTGCCCATGATCCATTTCAGGAAGTTATCCGGACTAAGGGCGGCCACACTGGCCCAGGCAGGTTCTTTGACTCAGTTAGTTGGGCCCAATAGTGCTAGTGTGGCGGCCTTGGCGTGATCACAGCCTTCTAGAGCGCTGAATGATCCGGCGCGTTTGCGTGACTCGGTGTAGTAGGTGGCAGACTGGCGTGGGAACCCGAAACAAGTGCGTCACGGTTGCGTGGACAAAAGTTTCTTCGTTATCATGACTGTGTGGACTGACTCGACCAGAATTCCACAGGCAGAATCCAGATTCTGCAACGAAATGTCATTGTGTAAGTCACCTTTGAACCTTTAACATGGATAATTCCCATGTGTTTAATGGTACCGGTTGCTGACCGCGAAACCGACTCGGACTGGGTAGCCAGCTGTTGCATACACACTATGTTTCCAAGGAAGGGAACATGCCAACGAGCTCCCACCCAAGGCTTAGTGACCACAAGCAACTTGTCATTTTTTCACTGGCTACCCGGGCCGGGCCGCTGACTCCCGGTCGTCCATTGGTCATTGGCTATATTACAAACTGAACTGGAGAAGGACAATATGTTATCATGTCCACTATACTTCATCACGGAGTCCGAAACATCTCATTGATCGACACAAGCAGCATTAATTGTGGACATTTCCACTCTCAAACGTCCACAGCTCAAGCCGTTAAAGGTAGCACTCCCATACGAGCGCGATGTTCCAAAACCATAACACAACACCTCAAGACACTTAATCCACGCCCAACTACCTTGAAGAAATATGTTCTACAAGTCGCCATACCGTCATATCCCATTCTTTCCGCAAACTCCTGCTGGACCCAGGTTGTTGAACCCCTCGAAGAAACCTTGCTTTCTTCCTTTCATTTTTTCGCGCGATCCTTCACCGCGTGTCGACTCCCCTTCAAGCGCCCGCAAGGTAAATGCACCTGCATTCTTTGACTATAACGCACCTCCTACACAGGGCCTTCCGTACATCTTCGAGCCCGCCTCAGCCAACACCACCCGTGTTAATCATCCACTCAAAAATGCTGTTTCAAAAGTCTTCAAGAAGAGCGCCCCCACCAAGGCTTTCTCAAGTCAAATAATCCACCCGCGCCGCAAAATTTGGCACAAGCGCTTCACGTACCATCTCACAGTCACTCGTCCTGGACTCCGTCGCAAAGGCCCCCGGTTCTTCAATCCAGCGAAGCTCAAGCGCGAAAAAGCAGCGGTGGCTCTTGGCAACTTTGAAAATGCCGCCCTCAAGACTATGAAAGCCTGCGGTATGACCGCCGAAGATCGTATCTTCCTCAAGCAGCTTGAAGAGCTCCGTCTCGATCAGATGCGCAGGCATGCGCTTGGAGATGCTAGAGAGGTCGTCGCACGCGCTGAAGCATTGGGTCCACAACGTGAGTTGGAGCATGCGGAGCGCGACCGTCAAGCTACCCTCCGATTGGAGGAGAATACACGGAGGAAGAAGGAAGAGGAGGAATCCCGCCGTTTGGGGGAGCTGCGCCGCTTGGAGGAGGAACGTCGGCGGCAGGAGGAGGAGAAGCGTAGACAAGAGGAGGCCAGGCGCAGACAAGAAGAACTTAGGCGTCGCGCAGAGGAACAGGCCCGTCTTCGTGAGCAGCGTGAGCGCGAACTCCAGGCCAAACGAGAGGCTTTCCGTAAGGCTCAAGAGGAAGCTGAACGTCGCGCCCGTGAGCAAGCCGAGCGGCACCTTCGTGAAGAAGCTCAACGACAAGAAAGGCAGCGTCAAGAAGAACTTCGTCGCAACAAAGTTCAAGCAGATATTGTCGATTTTTTTCAGCTCTACGACGCAAAGTGGCAAGAGCTCAAACTGAGCAAGACGTTGACTTCAGTCATGCTCCGCGAGATGCCGTGGCCCCTCTTTCAGCATGGCTGCGCATCCCCTGATGATATCTCCCGCCGCAGCATGGAAGCATTCATCTTCCACCCTCTCCGCCCAGGGATGGAGACCAAGTCACGTAAGGACCGACTGAAGGTAGAGATCCTTCGATTTCACCCCGACAAGTTTAACTCGAACATCGTGCGCAAATTGCGGGAGTGCGATAGGGGAAGGGCGATCGAAATTGCGGGAGCGCTAGCTAGAATGCTGACGAACATGATGGCTGAAGAGATTGAGAAAGAGACGAATCAATAGATCGACATATGCTGGAATGCTGTAGTCGTTGACAATTTAGCGTTGGCTATCAAATAATGTTCAATCTTGCGAGTAACAAGCAAGTCCTCACAGCAATACCAATCATCAGAGCGATTCTGTGTATTCACACTAAAACATTTGAGCCTTATAAAAATAACACAAACTTCCTTTCAGAGTCCCTTGACACGCCAAAAGGCAGTGATAATCAAGGCTCAGCTTGATTATCGCAGACTATATTTTATGCTACTCAGGTAAGCAACTGGCTTACACTACTAGTAGACGACGATCTTATAATAACTACTTACATCTAGACAACAACATTCACTTTTCCGCGTCCTTCTTGACCACATACACAAGCCAATCACATATGTGTGCCAAGTATATCCTTGCGTAGTGTGCGACCAACCCGAAGGACCGATCATGCTCGATGAATTGAACCCCATTGCCTGTTCACTAGCCTTGGACAACGGGTACGATCATCAGCCCAGACGACAGTTGGGATGATGCTGGATTCAAGGATAACTCAGTCAATGTTGACAACAATTCATCACCGCTATGACAGGTGACGATGTCCCTTGTTAGCATCCTGGATCGACTAAGCGACCCCACTTACTTGGAGACCCTCACTTAGTAATAGGTATCTACATCATGGCATGCAGAATTCAAGCACTTTATCACCTCCTACATATCACAGATTCAGACAAGGCATTCATGAAAACCCTGGCTTAAGATCCCTGCAAATCCTCTGGTCTGTTTAACAATCTCCCCTCCATCCCACCTTCAACCATCACTACTTGACCAGTGACATGACCGGAGAGAGTGGACGATGCAAGGACTACGATCTGCGTTGCGATGTCGATCGGCATGGCCACCTTCTTAAGCGGACTCCTGCAATAGCACGAAATTCAACATGGACCATGAATCATCACGATAGTATCACTGACGTAGCCAATACACGATACACTGTTTGAGGATCCTTCAAGGCCTCTTCAGCCATGGGTGTCTTGACCCAGCCAGGCGCAATACAGTTGACTCTGCCTTTGGGGGCTATCTTCACGATTTCATTCTTGAGAGTCAAATTCAAACCATACATCATTGCTAAGATATGATAAGTCTAAGTCGAACTGCAGACATAATCATTACTGACCGCTTTTCGTCGCAGCGTAGTCACCGTGATTGGCTTCGCCATACTTCCCAGCCGTACTTCCGATAAGCACGATAGCTGCTTTTTCCTTGACAGTAGAGGGTGCACTTTCTAGGTGCTTCAGATATTCTCTACACACCAAGAATGATGACGTCAAGTTCGTAGTCATGGTGGTATTCCATTGCTCGAGCGTCATCCTTGCGATTGGGACATCTAAAGTGGGATATATAGCGTGATTGACGATCACCACCTGTACGGGGCCATGAGGCATAGCAGATAATGACTCAAACATAGCGATCACGGCTTCCTCTCGAGACAGATTCGCCTGGACATGTTGAAGATTGGGGTTCGATGCCTGAAGTTCCTGGATTGGACCAAATTGCGAGTTATAATGTGCGGTCACGTTTGCTCCCAGTGCTGGATGTTTGTTTTAACTCAGTAGTCATCACTCACTGGCAAGAGTAAACTACTTACCACAAAACAATTTTACAGTCTCTAGCCCAATTCCCCCACTTGCCCCTGCTCGAGTGCTGTCAGGTCAGTATAATACAATAGGATACTGTATAATACGACCTGTAACAAAGACATGCACTCCTTGCAATCCAAGATCCATGACGTGCTGTAGTGGTCAGTGTGATTCAGATGTCTACTTGGATAACCAGTTGAACGATAACAGACGATAGCGGCCTCAGTAGGCAATTGAAATATCGAGGTGTGAAAATAACCATTGTACTACTCATGTAACTTGTGCCATTGAACAGGTGACCCATGCCGATTATGTATAACTTCAAGCGCGTGTTTAGTATGAGTGCTTCAAATTGTAAGTAGTAGACATGTGACGTCAATATGTCACTGGTTTCCAGTTGGTCACATTGTATACTCCGCGCCAACATCAACCGACGATTCGAGGCCGTTTGAGTGGAGTCTTAGCGCGAACGACGACCACCGCCAATATACTCTATTTCTTTTGAAGCTGGACCCATAAAATTTCTAGCTCTGGTCACCAATCGTCGGGCAGACTACCAATGCTGACCGCTACGACAACGATGGCAATGGCGACTGTACGTGTTGCTTCATAAACCGTCCACAAAAGGTTTGTCGTCGACGGAAGCAACACTACCATTACTGTACAATCGTGCAGTGAGAGTATTTCTTCATCGAGACGTCGTAATCATGTCCACATTATCAAGCGCTGCATTCGCACTCCTCCCGCCTCCCCTTGCGCCCTCGCCTCATCCTTAGATGTCCACCGGAGGAAGTGGGATATTCTTTGCATTATCCTTGAGACCACCGTTTTCTCTTCTACCACAGCCACTCCGAGAATCCCCACTCTTGTCTCCACCAATCATTTATTTCCACTTTGTATGCTCGATCTCTCACTTTATCTACACCTTCATCGCTGTATCGAAAACCTAGCTCCGCATTCCTTCCTCACCAAGTCGTCATCGCACTCGTCGCATCCAGCATCAAGATAGATTGCCCAAATACTGATCGTGAGATTACAGAGGACTGGTTGTCAAAACGCAGTCAATATGATTTTGTACCTTCCATAGGTAAAAATCTATCACGAAGTTCTAGATCTCTACCGCTTGCATGTCTTTCCTTGTTTGGGCGAGTGGGAATACGTGAATGAATTTCTATCATACGAAAATGAATTCTCGTCTAACAAATGACGCGTGAGTTTAAATAATTTCATGATTCCCTTGTGTATCATACTGAATACGACATTTACTTGGCTCTCAAGGCTCAACACGCTGAAGCGCTGGAGAGAAAAAAGCAAAAGACGCCAAAACCTGAGACTTTTCCCCCTACATGAACGCCTCCACTCCATTCTCTATCCCCAGCATCTTCCTCAAACTCTCGTCCAAAACTTATCCGCCGGAAATCTGTGTCTTCCACCTCTGCAGTTTCAGATGCTACCATAACCAGATACCGTCAAGGAAGTTCACAGTCTCGTGACTGCACAGCTCCCAGCCACCCTAGACTTATCCGATCTTATTTCAACCACTATTTCACCGCAAACAGAATAGCCACTCTGTCGATTTTGTTCTTCCTAATTCCCCTTCCGTCTTTGATCCTCCAGAAGCGGCTGCGCTTAGAGAAACCTACAGACTTGGTACGGAGGAGGCTACATGGCGAGTCGACTATGAGACGATTATGGAATTAGTGAGTGAGTGCGGTTTTAGATACTGTTAGGATGGGCGGCGTGGGACTCGTATGACTTATGGTACGCCTGCCTAGTATCAATCTCCTAGTCAGAAATTGGAATATGCATAATCATACTAGTACTTGCCCATATCCTAGCGACCCCAGTGAATGCCCTGCGATCGAGTATCACATGCACATGGTAAGTCACGATAGGCTGTGAGCATTAGCCTGAAATTAGTGACCAGCCTTTGATTTAGATTGGTTTGCCCAGAACAAATGCTATCCTCTACAGGAGATTGATTCGATCATTTCGCGTCTTCCGCACCGCCGTCCATTGAGAACCTGTCCGCGCTTCTGAGAAGCAATATACATGATGTTCTTAAATGCCAAAGATGAGATGCAGCCTCAGCACAAATTTGGACATCTGAACGGATTGTACAATTCAAAGAATACCACAATGTATACAAACTTGCCGCAGCTCATGTCAAGTCCTTGTGAGAAATGATGGGTGGATGACTCAATCCCAGTTCAGCGCATCCACGAACGTCGGAGGCAGCGAGTCAATGTAGGACACAGCAGCAAAACTAGCGCGTGCGGGGGAATCAAAGTACGATCTTCGGCGTGGAATATGAATTGAAACCTGTTCGTGATGAAACTTGTTTCAATACCACATGCTCGGGTCCTCGGGAGGTTACAGGGATTTTCCCTATATGTAAGCTGGCGAACTTATCATTATGGTCTACATATAGTTTAGCCTGCATGACAGAGAAACAGAGACCATTAACGTAATACGGTTCATACTAGGTCCATAGTATACGCGTACGACGAACCGGTTTAGATACTGAAGTACTGATATTTCAGAAGGTAAATACAGACTCAGTATCAGACTGATTCGGACTGATCAAAGTCCAAATAAGCACAAACAGAACAGTGCTACTCGATCGACCACTTGTAATCCCATGTTCACGCGCAGATGCTTATGCAGTTTCATCTACGTTTCATTAGTAACAGTGACCACATGCTCACTGTCACTGACTCGGATGGAATGGCTTGGAAACGCGTTTATTTCGTTGCGAACACGCTTAATGCTTCGTGTGTTACAGATCAATACGCGTGGATTTGAATGACGGCGTGGCTTCTCAAAATATATTTCCATTCTACTTGGACAATTGCTGCTGTAGCCATTCGTTTCATATATCCACTGGCGCGGATCTGATCACTGTAAAAGTGCTGGATAGTGCACACCTGCGTAAACAACATTGTCCCAGGCCGATCGCAATATGACCTACGTCTCGAACGATCCCTCTAATTGGCCGTATCTCGAATGGAGTCGTAGATACAACTATTTTATAGGTTCGTCCCATAATTCTAGTGATATATCACTGTCATTGAGCGTGATTTTGCAGTTGCGACCTTGACCACGATTATACATGATTGGGGTAAGCGAGATGATACTTTTGGAGGGAAACATCGATCTAAACTTGTTTTCAAGTACTTACATTTTCACAAGAGGCAAGTTGGTGCCATTACCGGTACCATGCAGCCATCTCACTAATAATCAATTAACAGTTCGAACTGATATTGGTGAGCAAAGTCCTATATCAGAAGCAAACAGGGTAATACAGTCGATTCGGGCTAGAGGCAACGCTGCACCCTCATGAGCATTCTTTATGTCTGTGTACGTATTTGATATGTTGCCGAGTTGTTTTCACTCAACTATATGCTAGGTTCGCTACAGTGGAATACTATTTTTGATGTATGTTTTCAACACTAGCCAGATGACATTACCCTGTGTTGATAAGCCATATTTCACAACCAGCGCCTATATACTAGGTATGTGTGTTCATATATGTTCGTTTATTCTGCCTGATGGCATGCAGCGAATTTCCAAATCTCAATTACAGATGCAGTGGGTATTCTTCACTGATGCCTGCCATTCCCATTCAACTACTGACTGCACTCCTACATAGGGGTAAGTGATAGTTACACCAGTTTTTTCTTCGAGATAATGACTTGAACAGTTGTGAGTTGACTCGAAATATCTATTTAAAAAATGCACATCAGTAACTTGGTTTTCAGGCAAAACTATTTGGTTGATACAGGCGTGGACGCCTGCGATAATCAATGCCATGCTGGGAGGTGAGTACGGCACCTAATCATAATAACTTGGCTGAAATGTTTGCAAGTCATCATGACAACTCGGATATACGCTATGTACCAGGGTTCCAAAAGGATACTCATCCTTCTCCTTGTAGTCTTACTGGCTTGTACGATTGCCTCCGTGGTCATGACGGTGATAGGAAACATTGGTGTTTCAGGGGGTAAGCTTAAAGTATGAATGAAATTCTCAGGACTCATGCACGGATAACAGTGGAGAAAATCCTTTCTGGCAACCATCAGTGTTCTGAAAATATGAGCGCCGAGGAGACGCGTCTGAATGCCGAGAGCACGATACCCACCACCGTATGGGAAACCCTTGCATTGTGTCTTGCAGTCTGTATTGTTATCAAACACTTCCGCGAATTGCAAAAATCACCGACAGGGGCAAACATCAAAAACGTTTTCACATTTTTAATGAAGGGTCATATGCTGTACTTTGTAGCGTGAGTTCAAATGATTTTGATATATTGTCTCGTTGAAGTTCTGGATGTACTAGCTTTACTGTTGTGGCTTGCTTCAATCTCGGCACACTGTCTCCAAATCTCTCGGTACGCCAACTGCTCATCGTCGACTGCATACTGCTCATCATTTCTGAAGCCCTCTTCCGTGGGAGTCAGTTTTTATTACGGTATCGGCGAAGTTGCCCAGGCCATGCAGATATTTGTGTTGGGGCCCCGTCTTATCCTTAGCATTCGAGAATATCACGATCAACACATGGTGAGCTCTGACGAAGAAACTTGTTTTACTACAATAGATATTTGTACAGGGCAGAGAACAGATCGTTCATGAAGGAGTTTTGTGATTATTAGAATAACTTTTGCACACAAACTTGCCGGGAATCACTATTAGCTCGTACGCAGTACACACACGCACTGGGGAATATCGAGCATTTTTGCCTTTCACTATACGATCATGCCATCAGCGTGATTGGATGTGTGCAGTCTACGTTCCCGCAAGATTCAACTATGACTCCTATAGAGCCAATTCCCCGAGACTGTGTGAATAAAAACACCTTTGGCACCGGACTTTACATCTTGGGTGGTGAGCCTGCGAAGAGAATGAATTAATGGATGGATGGGCAGTGAGCAATACTTGAACATGAATTCCTCGGTTGAGTCTCGTTGGTCGCAGATTCTCCGTTATAGCTGGACATGCAGACTTTATGGTGGAGGTTACAATTCGATCTGCAGGGATTGATTTCCAAGTCCGAACGACTCGGATATGCGAATGGAAGACATTGTGTACGAAGGAGTGAGCTGCTGCGGTCGTCGTTGACCAACTTTACATCAGTCATGAGGAAACTTTGTTACTCAACTGTCTCAGCATCTCTGTTTACACATACATACTAGTAGTAGTAGCTCGTTCCTTGGCGGCATTCTAAGCGTGAAGCTGTGGCTGTGTGATGAGTGCAAGCCGCTCACGTCAGAGCTCTCGTTTATGGAATTCCCTTTGTACCGAGTACTATCACTTGTAAGAAAAGTAAAAATCGGTCCTTACTTTCTGTAGCTTCGGTGAACGAACTCTCCCTCATGGTCCGAACCAATCTCCGTCGAAAGCATTACGGTCAGTCGCCGTTTCGTGACTTATTATGCGCCGAGAATTGATTGTATCATAAAGTCGGCAGCTTTTGGCCGACGCTGTCAGTCTTACTTCAAGGTACCAGGGCCGCTATCATTGGCAATACTCAAGTTGCTGTGCTCAGTGATAGCCTTGATAAGAGGATGTGTTCGAATATCTACACCATGAATTCCTACCATGTCCTATATCTCACAAGATCCCTATCTGTGGCCATTTCTCGACTATAACTTCATCTCTAGCTATTTTTTAGGTTCGTCAAGAGCAAGCCGGATGTTATTCGTCTCATCTTTGGCTGTGTTTTTTCAGTTGCATCCTATGCTGTGGTGGTATACGATTGGGGTGAGCGACTCAAGATCATCCTTTCCGAGGGAATTATTCATTGATAACTGTACGGGTGTTCAAGCCTTGGCGTTCGGACAAGAGGTTAGTAAGTCAACGTATTTTATTAAATAAGCTGCTCAGCATGTTGTAATGCCAGGTCGATTTGATCTGGGTGAGCAAAAGTCCTATATCAGAAACACAGTGGAATAATAAAGCAGAAACAACGCTGGTCTCTCATGACTGTTTTATATATTTGTGTATGTTATATTATGAGCGCAGTAGACGAGTTGTACTGATTTTTCAATATGCTAGGTGCGCTACACTGGAGCAATATCTTGTGTGTACGTACAGTTTGCAAGTTCATTCAGTAGAGTAGATGCCATTGCACCATGCTAATAAACCAACATTCGCATTTAGCGCCAACCTACTGTGTATGTATCCCAAAATATACTGTATTCGCGTCCGAGTCCTCTGACCAGTAGCATGCAGGGTATCTCAATTCAGTGTCGGTGACGAATACAGTGGGTATCCTATAGATCCTCAACATCCCCTTCCGCTCATTTATGCCCCGCACAGGGGTGAATGTCGTTTTCTACCGGCTTGTTGGTCTGACACGACGAGCGCATCAGTTGTACGTACGTTCATTTGAATAATCAAGTCCTCTGAATAACCTGTGTTGTTAGGTGTTATCCTTTGGTTTATACTGGTATGGACGACTGTCATCGTCAATACGATGCTGGACGGTGAGGTTTTCAGCTGCGGTATCTTACTCATGCTGATCTGACTGAGATATTGTGCAAGTCATCATGATGGCTCGGATACATGCTATGTATGGGCGGTCCAAAAAGATGTTCATCTTTCTCACCGTAGTCTTGATGACTTCAACTATCACGACCACAGTGATGGTGATAATCTTAAACATCGGGGTTTCAGGTGGTAAGCTTTTAGCTCCAGATATATAAGCATTGAGCATACGGGACTGATAGGCAAATATCAGAAGAACGCCACTTTTCCGGCACCAGTCAATGTGCCGTTGTCTTCGCCAACATGGATGCGGTACATCTTCATGACGCGGCGTGGATTCCTTCCGTTCTGTGGGAGGTCCTTGCCTTCTGTCTTGTAGTCTGGATTATCGTGGTCCACTTCTGTGAATTACGAAAACATGGACCGACGGGATTGACCGTCATAGACTATTTCACGGTTTTAATCAAAACCCATATGCTATACTTTGTTTTGTGAGTTCCGTGAATTAAATTATTATTTTGTTCACTGAAGTCCTGCATATTCCAGCTTTGCTGCTGTATCTTGCCTCTACATCGGCCCACTATCTCCAAAGCTGGTACAGCGATTTGTGATAGTCATCTGCATCTGACCACTCTCATTATTACTACAGTCCTCAAGTTCCTTGGGAGGTGGTATTTATTTCGGCATTCTCAATTTCGCCCAGCCTGTACAAATGTTTGTGCTGGGACCACGTCTGGTCCTTAGTGTTCGACAATATCACGCTAAACTCGCGGCCGGGTTTGATGAAGAAACTAGCATAACTGCGAGTGCCTTCCGGGATGGCAGACATCTGTCAATCAGCATTGGTGTGTAGCATGGAAGACGATTCAAGTTGTCAGACCGAGTACTGCGCAGGGACTTGAAGTATCGTTGTAGTATTTACTTGTAAAACATCATGCACCATGTTCGAAAGTGAGCCAGTGCATATAATATCGTCTGGGGAAACCAATCTGTGGCATCACTACTGTTGGAACAATTTGAAGCGTTCATTCCGTGCAATTCCAGAAATCATCTTTCTAGACTATAGAAGTGCTGATGGGTTGAGTATCACGTCGAAGCAAAAACCACAGCAACTACATGCACTACATCAAGTAGGAATGTCGCCTTGCAGCCTAAAGTCCCTACTGCTCGCACCGACAGAGAACGAGACCTGGCCATCAGGCTTGCGCCACCCCTGACCGACGACGTCCCAGATAGACAGGTCATAGCGCGAGAGCGTTATAGAGACCTGTTTCGTGTCGTATGGCGAGATCTCGACATTCGTGAAGCCCTTCAGGACTGATGGAGGCTCGCCAGCGGAAGACGGGAAGTGAATGTAAAGTTGAGGAATCTGTTCGAGTAGCTTGGGCGTAAATATAAAGATAACAAAGGTAATGAGTGTCACGAACCTCAGTCCCAGATACGGGTCCAGTGTTCGTAACCTCAAAAGTAACCTGGAATGCAGGCTCATGGAGCCTGGTAAGGAGCGGTATCAGCCTACAGATCCTTCATTGATTTTAATCAACCTCACCAAAGAGCAGTGGAAGACCCTTCAGCGATGGGCGAAACCTTCCCGTTCTTCCAAGCAGCGATCAAATCCTCCTGATCAGCGTCTGACGACTGAATCGGAGTCACGCAGAGCTCAGAGTACGTGAACGTAGTATAACTCAAGCCAAAGCCAAACTCGAAGCGTGGCGTGATGTTTGCCTGCAATTGCCTGCGTGTAAGACATGAGAACGCCTAGCAAAGTCTTGGAACTCACTTGATCAAAGTGGCGATAATCGATGAATAACCTGCAAAGTGAGATCAATATCAATTCAAGGAGATATTGATTCAGTTGGCACACCCCTCCGTGTAATCAATGGTTACGATCTCGCTTCCCGAATCATCAGTGACGAGTTGTGCGGGATAATCAGCCAGATCCTTGGCAATAGTATACGGAAGCCTTCCAGAGGGATTGTATGCGCCATAAAGTACGTCAGCGATAGCATTCCCCGTCTCCTGACCTTGGATGCCAGCCCAGACGACAGCAGTGATGTTAGGGTGCTCGATCCAAGGCTCTATAATGAGCGGGCCAACACTGTTCACGACGACTATGGTATTGTTGTTCTGCGCAGCGACAGCAAGGATGAGGTCATCACCATCATGCCAAGCAGTGAGGTTGTTGCTCGGTGGAAATGAGCACAGTCATCGTTTAAATATGTGCTAGGAACGTACCGATCTCCCTCGTTGCCATCAACAGTAATATAGCCTTCACCAGAGTCGGAGCTAGTGAAAACGAGAGCAACAGCCTGACCATACGCCATATTACCAGCCAGAGCGGTGTTCCAGTCGTCAAAGTCCCAGAACACGCTGCTGCCGTCCTGGCGAGCACGCTCCTGGATACCCTCGAGAGGCGAGATAAGGTAAGGGAAGTAACCAGTCCTATGTATCGTCGATCAATTTTCAGAAACAATACAAGTATGTCTGAGAGAGCACATACCCAGATCCCCAGCCCATGGCCAGAATCCCATCACTTCCACCTTGATCTGAAAACTCATTCGGACCGGATTTGCCTGGACCGGCATCGCTTCCGATCAATACTAAGTTTCTTGGCTTGTTCAATGGCAGTGCGCCATTTTCATTTTTCAGAAGGACGGTCCCAGCTGCGCCGATCTCCCTCACAAGCTTATAATGGTCCGCCTGCACATTCACGTGCTTGTTGTTCACTTCGTCATTAGGATTGAACGCGTTGAAGTTTGTTGCAGGATAGGCCTCGTCCTGATGAAGGAAGTACCAAGCAGCGATGATACGCGTTGCCATGTCGTCCAGGCGAGCAATGCTGATATACCCGTCATTCACGTAGTCCGTGAGGTTGCCTCCAAAGTAGGAATCGCCAGAGTCGAAGGTGATATCGCCAGGCATAGTCATGTCAAGTCCTGCGACGGCAGAGAGGGTCGACATCGTCGCTCCCCAGTCAGATTGAACGAAACCTTGGAAAGCGTACTCCCGCTTCAAGATATCGTTGAGCATCTTGTCGTTGTTGCATGCGTAGGTTTCGTTGATGAGGTCTGCGATTCAGACCTCATATGATGTCAATGATAGATGTAGAACATTATTGAAACTTACTGTAGCTGCACATGACGGACGAAACGCCAGCCATGACGCTGCGCAAGAACGGGTGCGCGTAAATCTCATGTTGAGTCCGGTCATCAACATTTGAAGATTCTGATGTGCGGAAATGCTCCTGCTCACTAGCACGGCAGATAACTCATGAGTGTAAATACAAACGGACATCACAGGAGACAAACTTGTTGATGAAGTGCTTGGCGGTGGCTTGTACTCCGCCATTTTGTAGGCCTAATATTGTCTCGTATGCAGATTCGCCGGTCAAGAAGGGATCTGCACCGAAACCTTCCCAGTTACGGCCGCCTTGAGCGACGCGACCCATGTTCATCATCGGACCAAGGGCAATGTTGACGCCCTTGCCCTTGAACTCTTGACCCAAAGCTAGGCCGCGAGCACGCATCAGAGCGCGATTCCAGCTGTTATAAATATCAGACAGGTTGCGACGGGGACCTTGAAGATGACTTACGTAGATGCTACCTGAATGCCAGCGGGGAATGCGGTTGCGTAGTCTGCAAAACGGACGGCGAGAGGCGAATCCTAGCCAATTCTGAGACAAACACACTATTGAACCAGGCCACATACCTCAAGACATAGACCGGGGAAGTTCTTATTGGGTGGGATATTGCCAACGCACAACCCGTTCTCCCAACCGACTCCCGTGGTGATGTTGACCTTTTCCTCGATGGTGTAATCTGATATCTGGGTATCAAATATGTTCAACACGTGTCAACATATACAGTGTGCAAAAATTCAGTCAGACCATCAAACACGATCGAATATTGGAAAGGATGCACTCACAAGACTTTTGGCCTTTTGGTAAGCGGCAGACCATGCAGGCGCAAAATCGGGCACAACTTGCGGGTCACTACTGACAGTGGGAGGGTTCAAAGGATCCGTTGCAGGGAAAACTGGTGGGCGAGGGTTGAGAGTAGGTGTAGGATAGGGAGTGAATGAATAGCTAGAGAGCGGAATGGTGACAACACCGGTTGTGGACGCGCCTGAGGTGCTGGCGGAAGCAGAATATGTTGTGGAGTTTGCAGAAGTTGATGAAGAATTGGATGAGGTTGTCACCGGGGAATATGGACCAGCTACAGTAACGCTCACATTACCACCTGGGGTAGACGGTGTTGCGGCAGACGAAGCCAAGGTTGGTGCACCTAGAACGAATGGAATTATACACAACAACGACAGCAGCTTAGACATCATGGCGACTGCAGTCACTGGATAAAAAAACGGCCAAATATTACCATGTAGAACGAACCGACGCTTTTGTACTTGGTTTGAGCCGAATACGTATCATTACGGCGAGGGCATGCCGCTGCCAGTGCGGGCATATCGCAGGGCCAGCCAGGCTGAGCCAGCAGTGCCGATCAAAATCATAGAAATAAGTCAACTTGAGTTTACTATGACGGGGCATGTCATGATGTCCATGAAGCCATTGCCAGTTACTGTCGTTGGCATGTGAACTCATGCAAGAATTCCTCCTCATGAGACCAGCTGACTTCGTCTTACATATTGATGATAACATATAAGCTGAATAGCTTGGTTACAACCATCACAATTTCGACCTCATCGTCATCACGGACAGTTCTTTTACCAACGCTGAGCGCTGAGGAATAGTTTATGTTTACCTTGCACGCCGTCTTTTGCAAGTCTCTTGCTCATATTACTTCGTCACTAGACGCATTCTCTTTAGGTACTATCGATGCTATCAACTTTGACATAGCGGTTCTTTCGTCAACGCTGAGACTCATTCTCTTTAGTTTCACCCAGCAACACTGTCACTGGCAAGACAGGCGCTCACCAGATCACCGTCATCATCTCGCCCTTGAGCAGGTCTAAGGTCGTCAGTGGAAGAAAGACGGAGAGCCAGTAGGAAAGCCTTTTAATAGCGATGGGTGAGGGGTAGCCTCGATATATTATCATATATATCAGGCCCCCCAGATGAAACAATGTTCAAACGTTCATCTGTGGAAACGTAGACGGAAGACTGCAGTTGTGGAATATAAAGGAGGGCAGCATGATCAGGGATCCGTGGGAGGGGCATAACGCTCGAGCGATGTGCCTCGATTGCTACCTGTACATGTATTGCGAGACCAAGCGGATCCGAAGATGGCACCATACGACGAAGTCACCAACGGGAGTATTTCTAAATTCGAGGAAGATCATTTAAACTCCTTATAAGGAAGGTGTTAACACTCAGTTGGAAGGAGCTAACCGAAGGTCAAAGCTTCCTTTCATCCCTGACCTCGGAAGCACTTCTGGTATATTTTCAGTGTCCAGCAAGCTAGAAGTACTGCCTAGATCCCTGCGATCCTTCCTTGTCGACAAATCGCCATAGTTCTCCGAGTAGCTCAGGGCTGGCTGCCAGTGGATGGGATCGTACTTGGTGCGAAGAGTACGAACTTTTGCAGTGAAAACATATATAGGGTCTTCGTCTCATGATATCAACGCAGGGTGAGTAAGAATAAAAATCAGTATCAATTCGCACTGACAAAATATAGCAGCATAATAATCATGCGGCTGTTCGATCGCAAACTCTCCGAGACTAGTCATGAATTGATCGGAGTCCAGCCCTCGTCCATTGGAAGGCTTCATCAAACTTTCTGCTTGCCATTTCGGCCAAGTACTCGGGGTCCTGGAATCCTGGATCAATCACTTCAACCAAGCCACAGACGCCCTCCCTTGCAGACCAATGATACCGTAGCCGTGTACTATTTAGTTCCGTGTTATCTTGTATCGGTATCTGTACCTCGCCCAATTTCATCCCATAACTTACTCTTCCAAAAGTCCAGAGAAGTTCGTGACGGTAATCATATCTTAATCAGCCCATGATCGTAGTGGCCAGAAAGTATGGCAAAGGAGTATCAGCATATAGGTCTGGGCAGGGTTGGAAGTGAGTGCAAAGACAAAACCGTTTCATCCTCTCATTTGCCCTCTCTAAACATATTTCAGAGGACTCAAAACAGCCTAATCGCCCCATACCTCGCGGTGTCGACAAGGGTCCTCACGGCTCTACTATGGGAGTGGGGCCAATGTCGAATACAAGTTTGAGCGCCCAAAACCTTCACCCACCAACGGTGAATTAGAGGGCATGGCCAGACAGCAATCAGCTATGAATGGCCTTGGAAGGCGAGAAAGACAGCACATTCAAATCCGGGCATTTTCACGCCTGAAGAGGATGGCCAGGCGTCTCATTACTTCAACGTTACTCATCGTGTACCACCGCCCGTCGCTTCCAGCAGGGACCACGATCGTATTTTGGCATTGGATCAGGAGCGAGATAGATACAAGTCACATGCCAATCATGATACCCCATCTTATATCCCAGTCTCATCCGTATCAGCGACATACAGCCAAAGGTATACAGCCCCCGTCAACGGGCCCCAATTTTCTGCTATTACCGCTGCCATGGAAAAGGTCTCGTTTGACGATAGCGGTAATCAGTCCAACTCGAGTCCCAAAGGCCGAAATGGTCCATCACATCCGCAAGTTTCATACGCACGCCCCAGTGTACCACCACATTCTATTATTAGACCTGCCGCCACTGAGAAATCAGTTTCGTTTGATAGCGGTATTCCGTCTAGCACGGGTCTTAAAGATCGGAATAATCCGTCTGACATCCGGGATTCATACGCACACCGCGGTGTACCACCGTCTAGCAGCAGACCTAATGTCACCAAGAAATCGTTCTCGTTCGATAGTAGTGGCCTTCAGTTCAGCTCGAGTCGCGAGGGCTGGACTGGTCCGTCGCGTTTGCCACACGGAACCCGCTATGAGCCTTCGCACTCAGAAACACCAAAGGAGGTCCCACAAAATTGGCAGTCGTTTAACAGGTTCAATTCTCAACACCCCTTGCCAGACATCGTGAGCGCGACTCCTTACCATCTCGTTCAGCCTGCCAATACACATAATGAGGTATCTGGAGGCGAGTATCATCAGACCCTCAACCAATCGTGGAATGAAGTACAGCGCAAAGAGCTCGAGATGAGAAGACATAAGGAGGAGGAAACCAAACGCAAGGAAGACGAAATCAGGCAGAAGGATATGCTTGCGAAGAAGAAAGCAGACGAAGTCAAGAGGGAGGAAGAGCAGGCCCAGAAAATGGAAGCGCTTACGAGGCATGTGGGGAACTCAAGAAGGGGGTTTGGTGGGGAAGAAAGACGCCCAGCACAAGATCCCGCATTAAACTGGCAGGCTGCAAAAGAAAAAGAAGATGAATTAAGACGCATGGAGGAAGGGAGGTTCAAAGGACAGACAGCACGCGCCACAGAGGAAGAGAGCCGGAAGAAGGAGAAAGAACGCCCACCACGGGAAGAGCTTCATTCGCTGGAGGATCTCACCAAACAAGTCCAGGGAAGACCGCCCTACCCTACTGCTTTCGGAGGTTATGGAGACATCTGGAAATGTATTTTAGTTAAGCCCAGCAGGGCCGACGTCCAGGTACGCACCGTGAGCTTTTGGCACTTACTACCGTATCATCTGATTGTAATGTAGGTGCCACCTGTGCCAGTGGCAGTGAAGACCATGCGCACATGTGGGTCCGACAGTAAGGAAGTGGTGCAGAAGAAGGCGAAGGTAACATTTCTATTCCATTCATGTCAATCTTTCAGATGATGACTCAGCTTAGAGAGTGCGTCGTGAACTAAAGGTTTGGGGGCGTCTCAAACATGGCAGCATTCTTCCACTCTGGGGGGTAACAAATGACTTTGGACCCTACCCTGCGATGGTTTGCCCATGGGCCTACAATGGAGCTCTCACTGGCTTTCTTGAGCATCAACAACACGTGTTGTCGCTTCAAAATAAATTTTCCCTTGTAAGCCCTTTTAGAAGTGTTTTAAGATGCTTGCTGACGTATCATGTAGTTGAATGACATTGCCCTTGGATTACAATACCTTCACAGTGAATTGGTTGTCCATGGTGACCTGACAGGGGTATGGACGACCGCATGCACAATGTGTATCCATTACTCACGTACCAACTATTCAGTCAAATGTCTTGATTGACGAAAAGGGTCGGGCATACCTTGCTGATTTTGGTCTTTCTACTATCATCGTGGAGTTCGTCGGTACCTCCTATTTCACGGACTCTATTCGGGGGAATATCCGATGGGCAGCTGCAGAGCTGTATGAAGCACCAGACAACGCATCACTCACCAGCGAGTGCGATATCTACTCATTCGGCAGTATCATATTGCAGGTCAGTGACGCAAATTTTTCATCGTCAGATCTTATTTACATTGCGCTTACTCTAGATATTGACCTGCAAGGTACCCTACTACTATGTGAAGCATGACATTGCAGTGTTACGAGAAATCATCAACGGCAACAAACCAGAGCTCAGGGACTTGCGCATAGAACCCGGGCACTGGAACTTTATACAGCGATGTTGGCAGCCTCGTGCGAGTCGTCCTTTGGTTGGAGAAATTGTGGCGTTTGTAGCATATGAACGACGAACTCTGCCATCCTAGTCCGCTGAATGGAGCAATAGAGAATAACGAATTGGGATGTAACACTTATCTACGAGTGCTTCACACCCGCCGGAAAGTGATGTTGAAATGATTCAAATATCAATCTGTATTTTCTAGGTTCTGTTCTTACTCAAGCTTCTATCAAACGTAAGTATGTGGTGCCGGGAATCACAAAGGGATCCGATATCTGTGTAACTTTGTCACATTTACCTACTGATTACGATAAGGCTCTCGAGGTCTTAGCTGACGATCAGCATCATTTGTGCTTCCAGGTTCCTTTGCAGTCTACGGGCTGGACACCATCACGATCATACCACCTTCGGACTCGATAGGGTTCAAATTGAACCAATCTTTTAAGCTGTACGCCAAACATTGCACTGTCGTATAGACACTGGCACCAAGGCTAGCCATAGCGCTCAAGCGCTCACAAGTCATTGGAATTTCACTTCGCCCATTTGAAAATTCTATCTGCAGAAGCGCAAGTTCAACCTCACCCTTCAATTTGAAAATTGTAATGATGCTGGTCGAGCTCCTGTTTTGCGCTCAGGAAGTTGGTACACCAGTTTCTTGAACCTTGAACCGGTTCGTATCTTTGTAAAATTCTGTTTGGAGTCAGCTACACCGCCCAGTGACATATCGCTCCAACAGACATGACGTACGTCATTGAAATAGCCCCCATGACGGCTATATAAGTTGACGGTCTTGACCAACACCCAGATCTATCAAGAGCTGCATAGACCCCCTCAAAATGCCCACCACTGTTTCATCCACACGAAATGTCATCTTGTATTTTGTTGCGCTGTACGTCTGCTGTTCTCACCGTCCCAAATTACTTTTTTTCAATAAGTTACCATACTGAAATCACGTTCAGGGTCCTTCCGCCGGTAGCAGTGTTTTTCAGTAAGTTCATATGACCATTTTTCAGGCATCCTACATCATCATGTTAATGGCGACGATGATAGAACGTGGATGTGCTGCAGGTAAATATTAATAGTCCTCGCGACACCGTTTAAATTATGGCATTTTGCCAGACTTTTGGATTAATATCTGTCTTACGATCTTGGGTTGGATACCAGGAGTCTTGCATGCATGGTATGTTAGCTTCCGTTCATACAGTCAGTTCATTTGCTCAGATAGTGGGCCCATCTAGGTACCTCATTTCTCGGAGCGAGAGAGCAATGTGACGTCTTGACGTCATTGAAATTACCGGTGACAACTCCCAATTATGGAATTGAGTGGAAATCGCGAGTGGTGACCAGGAAACATGTTGTTCGAGTCGTCGACTGGCTTAGAAGGGGCTATGCTTCTGGGTGGCACCACCCATATCAGTAATCAGTAATAGTACCGCGTACCTATTTACCGTAAGGAATAGCCTGAGCCTACCACATCAAGAGTTTAAATCGTCGTTCAAGCATCGTTTTATGATCCCTATTTAGTATAGTCTCGGACGAGCTGTATTTAGCATGTAACTAGACCAAAAATGTGTGCAACGGAGAACAAATGCAACAAGCGAGGAAGCGAGGAAACAATTGTCACTATCAGCGTGAAATCAGTCCGGATTATCATTGATTAGATGCGGGCAGTGGGTATGGCACAAATCTACTACTAATCAGAAACTCGTTTGCGAACCTCCTGCTGTACAGCCTCGAATCTTGCACGCAAAGTATCTGAAGGATGAATAGTTGTAGTAATGTAGTCCATAATCTCGTGGTAAGCATCATCAAAAATAGAGGAATTTACAGAGAAATCAACGAAATGACCAGTTCGATGGGCATATAGCACACAGCGTATTGTTGCGGCACATACTGCGAATAAACGATCGAGTGGGCCCTTTACAATGTCCGCTAGGCCATCTTTCAAAAGGTCAATGACCATGTTGACGAGGACTTCGTTCTCCAGTAAGTGTCGAACCTCCGTGTCACCCACGGTCTGTGGCCGAGTGAGCTGGACACCATACTGAATTGACAGAGACTGTTACCTCAATATGGTGAAGGTATCTTGAATCCTCTAATAGAACACTGACTCTATCTTGCCTATGTGCTGACTCGTCCTGTTCCGAAAACAATGGCAGGCGCAGACCATAGCCAACTGGAACTGTTTTCATCGCGTGAGCTTTGAACCCGCGTCGCATATCTGCTATTGCGGCCACCATAAAATTGTTGATACCCTTGATGTCCTCGATTTCCGCTATGACCTCAGTATCAGTACATTTGAGATTCGGAAAGCAATGAAACACACCTTGACCAAATTGTTCAATTTTCGCGGCTTGCAACGCATTGCGTATCATCTTGTCGCGAAGCTCATCATTCGGGGCACCATCTGTTTCCGCATCCACGTTCAGTAGAAGCACCCGAAGCCTATTCTTCGCGATTTCTTTCAACTTTCGGGCTGATTTCGTCGAGAGCGTTATGCGGGTCGAAATGGGCGGGTCCACAATTGACCCAGACCCCTCGGGCAAATCAGGTGCAGCGGCAGGATCAGCTGATGGTAGCTCTGGCGTGGGAGGAAGTCTCGCATTACGTCGTCGTCTCCCGCTGTCGGAGACATGCTTTTGAGTCTGTATATCATAGGTAAACACTCAAAAACGAACACTCAAAAATAACTTACTCGAATAACACCCTGGGTTCTCTCTCCACGGGTGTTCTCTCCCAAGTGAAGGGGGGCCAGAGCGACAAGCCGCGCGGCCCCCCATGGGGCCAAAGACCCATTTCCGACCAAATCTGGTTGTGATGGCTGCCTTGACGATGGTGCGCGGAGGAGGGCAAATGCGCCAGCATATGCGTCGGCCAGTGCTCTATCCTCGTCCTGATGGTGCATGGGCAGGGGGTTGCTGATGGTGCATGGGCGGGGGTTGCTGATGATGCATGGGCGGGGGTTGCTGATGGTGCATGGGTGGGGGTTGCTGATGATGCATGGGCGGGGGTTGCTGATGGTGCATGGGCGGGAATTGCTGATGATGCATGGGCGGGGGTTGCTGATGGTGCATGGGCGGGAATTGCTGATGGTGCACGAGCGGGGGTTGCTGATGGTGCATGAGCGGAGCTTGGTGTCGAGGCTGGGAATATTGCGGCGGCGGGGGTTGATGGTACTGGGGCTCAGGTTGTGCATGATGCTGCTGCGAGATGGGCATTTGAACGCGATGTTCTGCGGGTGTCGTTGCGCGATCACCAGGTAAGCCGAGTTGATTGGCAACCGACTGGCCACTGGGATTAAGGTCCGAGTGAATCCCTGGCCGAAAACCCTTCTATAGATTGATCAGTAAGGCCATCGGCGACAGGATTGCAAACACGTACCCTTGCAGCGTTGGGCTTTCGCCTGCCAGTAGATCTTGCTGATGGCGGAGGGGGGTCCATCGATGTCGTGGTGCTAGTCAAGTGTTGCTTACAGTTAGTTAGTCACAACTTGTCAGCGAGCGCAAACTTTATCATATCGTCGATCGATGAAATATAACTCCTACTATTCAATCCGATATAGTACAATGTACAGATGGGAAACAGATGGGAAATTTCGCGAATAGAATGGTACCAAGAAAGGATTATCGATGGCTGCGTGTCTGACGGCACTTGTGAGCAATGATCAATCTGAGAGGGTAAGCTTGTAAGTTATTTTTATAATCTAGGAAAATAGAGCTTTGTACCTTCCAATTCAGCGTCAGAATAATCGGAATCGTCGGATCGTTCCCCGTTGTCAGCCTCCTCCTCACCTTGCTCATACTCCGTGTCACTACTGTTTGGTAGCCTGTGAGAGACATATTTTGTTGCAAGTGGCGATAGAGATGAAATTTGATAGAGCTGCTCGTCAGCCGTAGCTAGGGAATCGAGCTCAGAATCGTGCGATTCCTCCAGGTATTCAGCATCCTGCTGGAGAGCCGGAAGATCTCGTCCCACTAAGAGCTTCTTGAAGAGGTGATAATCCGACTCTGCCATTTTCAGTTGCTTCTTCTCCTTCCGCTCAAATGCTTTGAGGAGTAGTTTGTTGTATTCTACCTCTTGAATCTCCCAACCGAGTTGCTTGACCTTGTGATGGTGGTTTTCTCGCGCAGCATGTTTGGCGTGTGCTGCCAACGTTATCGTGTCACTTGACAAAGACGAGAGACCACGCAAGAAAACGTCCCGCCCCTGCAATAGTTGAATAAAAATCATTAGTTCCTGAAAACAAGGGCCTTCTTACCTTTATGGCATCAGTAAGTTTGATGTCAGGGCTTCCTCGGATGCCCTTCAGGGCAAAGCGCAGCTCCAGTTGGGTACTAGGAGCACCACGATGCAGGTATGGGTGATTCCTGCTTGCAGGTCGCATTCCACGCCGGGAACTGCGAGTGCTGCCAATAAGTGAATTGGCATCAGAATGGTTTGAAACCGGAGAGGAGGTCTCTGAGCGCAGGGGGGGGGGGCTCGAGAGACGTGAGACCTGTGGTCAAAGTTATGACCTTCCCTTCAGTTATTTTGGAAGGGTCAGGAGTTTGGAGGGAGTCAACTCGAGTTCGACCGCTGGAACCTGATGTTGTAGACGCAGACGATGAAAGAACGTTATTGAAAGAACTTGGAATCATAGACATATAATCTGTTATCTCTGCAGTGGTGAGTGTAGTACAGCAAAAATACAAGCTGGCGGAGTTTGAAGAACTTGGTGAATTTCCTCACTCCAAACGCACCGCAATGGACTCGGAACTTGAGGGGTGCACTGCAACTGGTCTGGAAATACGCAATTGTCACAGGTGAGTTGCATCAAATGGTACAGCAGTAACTGACCAACTTTGTCAGTGGTCCGACATCTACAATATGCCCGAATTGCGGACTAGAATTTGCGTCAAATCTTGCTGTTGTAGATCATCTCAATGATCAGACGCAATCTTGTTGGAACAGAGAGCCCACTTACCGCTTGCCAATCCCTCCAGCTTTCCAACGGGGAGACAACGACCGAGAAGAAGTCACTGGCCAGTACCATTCAAAGTCAGGCTACATTTTTGGACGGGGACGAAATATCTTGCAGGAAATGGAGGATCACGACTTAGATCAAAAGCGCCGCAGAGCAATAAATCCATCGTACCCTTTTGTTGATCAGGCTGAATGGCAGCTAGCAGAGTTCCTCGTTCAACGGCTGACACAAACCGATATCAACAAATTTCTGAAACTAGACTGGGTGAGTAGCATTATCTGTTTCTGCAGTTTTGACTGTACTAACTCTGAGCTTCGCACAAGTTCAAAGATAGACCCAGGCCATCCTTCAAGAGTGCAGATCAACTATTTGGCTGGATTGATGCACTACCAAGCGGCCCAGAGTGGCGATCAACGACACTCGAGTTTACCAACTACACAACTGCGAGGCCAATCGAGCTAATCTGGCGTGACGGTCTCGAAGTCGTCAAAGATCTCTTTGCAAACCCGATCTTTTCCAATCATATGATGTATGATCCTCACATTGTTATCACTGGCTCAGAACGCGAATATGGCGAGTTTTTTACAGCTAACATGGCTTTCGATATTCAGGTAGGGCTCCTTATTAGCAGTAAAGTGGTATCAGCTCAGTGTTCTATGCCAGAACAACCTTCCAGAAGGTGCCACTATGGTACCAATCATCCTCGCATCCGACAAGACGCCCGTAACCAGGATGTCGGGAGGATTAGAAATGCACCCGGTGTTCCTTACGATTGCCAATATTCAATCTGAAGTTCGTATGAAGGCCACCGCTCATGCATGGCGCTGTGTTGCATTCATTCCGATTCCGAAGTTCGATGTTCACGCGGATTTCCAAACGCTCCTCCATGCTCGCCTGTTCCACAAGTGCATGGACATGATATTCGCCAAATGCAAGGTGGCTGCGAGGATCGGTGAATACATGTCGGACTCCATGGGTTATATCCAGGCATTGCTTCACTCCGCTCGTCGCATATACAGCTGATCTCCCTGAGGCACAGCTCATCGCTTGTGTCTCAAAAAATGCTTCACCACTTACGATGGCAACCCAAAGCGACTTTGGTAGTGCTCAACTTTTCCCCCGTCGAACAGGCGACCATACGCTCAAGCTCATCTACGACCTATGCAAACGTGTTGATCCATGGAATGTACCACTCTTCCAACGCGAAGCTAAAGCATTGCTGCTTAGCGGCGTTCATCAGCCATATTGGAGAGATTGGCCGCATGCAGATCCAAGTCATTTTTTGCCCGGCGAACTGCTTCACACCTGTCACAAATATTTTGGTGACCATCCTTTAAAATGGTGCAAGGAAGTTGTCGGGGAGGATGAACTTGATGCTCGCTACAAGGCTCATCATAAACGAGTCGGAACACGTCATTTTGGGTCTGGTGTCTCCCACATCAACCAGATGACGTGCCGGGAGCATCGTGACATTGAACGGACCATTGTCGCCACAGTCGCTGGTGCAGCAAACACAACTCCCGATTTCGTCCATGCCATTCGTTTCCTCACCGAATTCATTTACCAGGCACAGAGCCCCGTGCACACTGACTCGTCCATTGATGCTATGGTGCACTCCCTCCACATGTTTCATACGCTGAAGCAAGCGATACTCGATGCCGGTGCTCGGAGAGGGAAGAGTGGAACGATTGACAACTTCCTCATCCCAAAAATGGAGTTGTTTCACAGCTTTGCGGGGTCCATCAGAGATCTCGGAGGTTTGATACAGTACTCAGCGGATGTTAGTGAGCGACTCCTGATCACACACTGCAAATTTCCATTCGAAAGGACTAGTCGGCAAGCCAGGAATTTTACCTTACAGGTCGTCCAAATTCTCAATCGCGACGAAACCATGCGGCGCTTCAATCTTTATACCCTTTTGCATTCGCATGGTACACCGCTCGTGAATGCCATCGCAATCGAAGACAACATCGTCACGGAGACAGATCCTACTTTGGCCTGGATAGCGCGTGTGCTTCCCGGCGAGCAGAATCGCTTCCATGGCCCGCGACCTGTCCGCAACCATTTCTTGAAGGGAATACTTTCTGTTGAAGCCAATGCCGCATTTCATGTCACCATCTCTCCTGATCGAAAGTCACTTCCTATCACTGATCTGCAATCTATCTACTCTCTCCCAAATTTCGGCGCAGTGCTCATGGAATATATCAATGACTCGTCCCAGAACACCCCAACAACAGCCTGGACGTGTGCGCGAGATTCAGTCAGGACGTGGAACAAGTTTCGTTTACAGCTACACTCTACCTTCCAGTCGCGAGTTGTGATGCCGAGTCAAATCGTCCAAGCGTTTCCACCATCAGAGACCTTCCCTATGGGCAATTGCGACGCAGTTCTCGTGCAATTGCCTGGCAATGATGGTAAGTATACAACTGCTGGCGTCATCCATGTGCTTACAAGCCTGTGCAGATACATACATTGCGCAAGTGCGTTGTGTTTTTCAAGCTATTGCTAGGAAAGGTTACACCCTGCCCCACTATCTTAAAGACTCGCCCCTTCTATACGTTCAGTACTTTCAGATCACAGCGACGCCTACTGAGGATGCAAGCGCTGGCATGTACCGCGTGAAACGCATCTACCATCAGGATCGAACAGGTCGGATCTTCCGACCTGGCGGCATCATTCCACTGACAGCCGTTACCTGTGCTGTTGAGCTGATCCCTATGTATGGTTCGAAGATGGATCGCACGATAAATGCTACGAACGCAATGGAGATCTGTGATGAATACTACTTGAATACATTTTCGGACAAGGAGGTTTTCAATACAATGCACAGTGGTTTGATGTAGATCTGCATTTGCCTACAATACAATTGATTATCTGCGCTCTAATCGTGTTGATAAGTAAGATAGCACAATCTAGCCTGATCGCATTCATTTCCGTAGAACATAATCATCGTCTGAGCTCTCCACCAATCAGACGAGTGCGCTACTGAAGTCGTAAGCATTCGTAAGTGTTCGTAACGCGCTTAAGCTAAGCGTTCATTTCAGCGGTTTTACTGATGCAGTATTCCTCGGTATTCCCAGTCACGAATCATGGGGTAAACTTTAATAACAATCATGGATGAAACCGTTGAACTTCTTGTAGTATGAGACTCATGGACAAGTAACAGAGGACTTCATCCTTCCTGGCATCTCCCAGTGTTTCGTCGGATACACCGTCAGTTCAGTCATTTCGGTGTTATTATCTTGTTCCACTAAAGTTCTGCGTGTGCTAGCTTTGCTGCTGCTTCAACATTGGCTGGCTGTCTCCGACGCTCACGGTGCGCTGAGTTGGGATCGATTCATCTGCTCCTCATCATTTCTAATACAGAACTCGGTTCCCGTGGCAAGTAATGTTTCTTTCGACACTCTTCAAATTGTCCAGCCTATTCAGATGTTTGTACTGGGGCTGCGTTTCATCCTTGGCATTCGAGAATATCACGCTAAGCTCGTGGCTAGCTCTGAGGAGGGTACCTGTATCAGTACAATTGCTTTTCTCCAGGAGCGGGAACAGGTCTCAAAGGGCGACGGTGTATGACTCACGTGTAGAGGATAAATTTTAGTCTGGACAAACCCACCCACTGAAAACTGAAAAGTGGGAACAGGAAGGATTAGTGCACCATGTTATATCTTTCTATTACACATTTCAGAGCAATTTACTGTTGGTACTGTAAATCGGCGCCAGTACTAAGTAGTACGTGTCACTATTCCATCTTTCATCAAAAGTCGAATCAGCTCGACCTCCCCAAATGGGGGTGGTAGATTATGCAGCCTTGTACGTGTTTCTTGCCTCATAACCTCCACTATCTGCTATAATTGCTTCAACAAATTTGCCATGGGTCCTCCTCGCCGAGCTCGTTCTAATTCTTCTGTATCAACTCACTCTCAGCAACATCGTCACCGACAGCCGCAACCACTAGAGCCAACTCCTCCAGAAACAATGCCGTCTACACAATCACATCTAGGAATGTCTTCGCAGTCGCGTTATATCTCGAACATGAAGGTTGTTCGTCGTAGAGACCCCTCCATTGTATCTATATTCGATCAGTTTAGCCATGTCTGTGTGTACCACCATAACGGTGACAAATGGGAAAAACAGGGTTATGAAGGCAGTATGTTTTTGTACGAGAGGTGCGTTCAACGCATTTGTTTGCCATGGGCATGTCTGCAGCTTATTTTCTGTAGGGATTCTTACCCGCCTTATGGTCTCTATATTCTAAATCGTGTGGGCATGGATGACTACATCCAGCGACTCTATCCAGAAGATGGCATAGGCGCACATGGTTCCTATCTCATGATGCGTCACTACCCCGATTTTACCACACGCAGACTCGCAGAAGCACGAGACAAATTACCCCTCTCCAAGCAGGAAGGCCCTGCCTCTAAATTTGCTCCTGAATTCGTCGTGCCAAATCTAGAACAACTACAAGATTCTGAGAAAGGCCGATCACAAACGGTCGGGTTGTGGTGCTTTGCAACTGATGCAAGAGAAAGCATGCAAGACGTTGTGTTGAGGTGAGCGACAGGCCTTTCGCGATATTTACACATACTCTGACGTGTTGTAGATTGCATAGCTATATCAAGAAGAATCTTCCGTATCCAGAGGAGTATAGATATGGCCCGGATCGTCCTCCTCCCCCGAATTTCCGGTCGTCATCGAGGGCCAGTGGTAGGCAGACTGCAAGCTTATTCAAAGAATTGCTCTCAATGTATTCTAGAACGTTCACATGTGCGCTCGGCATCGAGCGCATCCAACACCAGCAGCATACATAGCATTTCGGAGTCGGAAGAATATCATGCGGGAAGTCAACTTACCCCGTCAGAGAGTAGTCGTTCCAACGGGAATGTATCCGAGCTCGATAAACTGTTTGCCAAGCTGGGGGGCACGGGATGTACTCCACAGCAGATGCCCTTACAATCGCAGACTAAGGAAACGACTGCTGCAAGTTTACTGGCCGGCATAGCTGGCAGTGGAAACGCCCATAGAACAGCATCCGTTCCGCCACCGACCTCCCATTCTGTCCCTCCGACTCGCGGATTAGCTTTATTGGACACCATCTTTGCCTCCGCACCACCGCCACCAACTCAACCCAATCGTGGACCATCTCGCTCTGGAGCTGTATCAGCTTCCCTCCCATTGCCTACCGCCACACATGCACAAACCACAACTACACAAGCTCAGTCCATGACGTTCGGATACACTGCCCGCTCACAGAGTCCTCTCATCCTTTCTCCCAAACCAACGTCTACTGCATTGCCTCAGGTGCTCAACCAAGATGTCATCTCTACACTCCTTGGACTCCCTGCGTCCCGTGCCTATGAGGGTGATAACGAGGCAAGCGATGACGGGTCTATTTCGGAAGGAGGATATTCTGTTTCTAGCACTGTACTTGATGCTGATGCAGAAGATAATGTGGAGCTGCAAGCTGCAGGGTCATCCCCCGGGCTGCCACTCCTTGCCGTACCTATGGGCCAATCTGAGTACAACGGCACAAGAAATGGGAGCGGCAGAACCCTGGGTGATGTCACCCCTCGCCCGCCGCTCCGAGGTTTTAACTCTGATATCACGGTGGTTGGGGACATCCTCGCGGCTACTCAGACTCAGAAACACTCGCGTGCCTCACCACACCTTCATATTCCCTCTGTCCCACCTCCCCGACCTGGGGATCCAGATACCACGCCGACATTGACCAGCGTCAATGGTACACACGGCGTATCCAAGCCCCGTTCGCTTATTCCATTTGACGCAGATTCTGACTTGTGGCCATACCCGCGTGCTCCGTTTGTCGAGGCAGACTCCGATGTAATTGAGCTCGACTTTGCTGACACGAGTGCACTGAGCGATCCGGATGCATTTGCGAAGGAGCAGCGCTCGAAGAACAGGAGGAGCCAGAAGAAAGGTCGGAAGGAGCGGGAGAAGGATCGTGAACGAGAGAGAGAGGAGATAGAGAAGAGCTGGGATATGCCACCGCCTGTTAAGGTTGTATCACTTCCACAGCCACAAGGTGTCGTGTCGACACCTGCTGTCCCTGTTAATGGCAAGGTCAAGTATGCACGCAAGGAGCGTGCTGGTTCTGTAGCTAGCCAGAGCTCTGTTGATGACACAAACGCCATCGACGCCCATGCCGTCCATACATCTCTCCTATATGCTCTCGCTCAGAAGAAGAATGCAAGTTCGAATACTTTTTCGAGGAACGACTTTGTCCGGGAAGTTCTGACTCTCATACACGTATGTTTTATATTCATTCATCAAGTCTAGAGCACCTCTCTGACCTCTGTATTTTTAGACAGACAAAGATTTCGTGGACACTCTTTGGCAGGAGTACACTTCGAGTGCGAAATGATGTCCCAGAGATGGTTTGGATGCCTGGAAAACTCACTACAAGAGCTCATATATTTTTGCTCACGATTGCTGCTTGATTCAAGCCCCACTAGTACTACTTTACCACTCCTTTGATGATTTGTATTGTAGGTGTTGCCACTATGTTGCCGAGTATCTTGTTAGGTGGGTTTTGCATTTGACACAGTTGTATTAGTTATTCCGTTTGGATGAAGTTTGATTTGAGACTTCAATGCGGTGTTCATGTATCGTTCTGGTTTATACAAGGCGGGCCGATTTCGAGTGTGATTTCTGTACCAATAGTGGGTGGGTAAGGTATAGGATCGTCTATAACTACCACTCAAGACACTGAATCCGAAAAGACAAATCGTCACACTAAATGAACGCGTAGCGCTACATCGAGTGAACTTCTGAAACAGATTTACATGATTGGTTGACTATGCTACAAGACCAGAAACACACAAGTACTACATACATAAAGAATACTAATTATGACGAACCCTTCATAACACAGACGGCGACCGCCTCCATAAGGATTCTGTTAGCTCACATGTCCAAAACGCAAACATGACCTTCACCCAGTCCTAGGCCTCATCTGTCTGCAGCAAGCAAGATAGGAAAGTTGCACAACATTGGTTCATGCTAGACTAAATTGTATCCTTGGGCCAGAGCAAGAGGTAGGGGAAATTCAAATATCTCATATCAACCTGGACAAACTTCCCATGCCATCACCAGGCGATTCGTCGGACGTGTGACGCTGTGACGAAGCTAAGTGCGTATCTCTACAGTACACTGAAAGTGATTTCCACACCTTAATGGCAATTTTGAGAAAATTGTTGATATAATGCCATAACATACAGAATAATTAACTGCCATCTCAACTCTCAATCGAGAGAACTACTACATAGTACACAGTGAAAGTAATGTCGAAACTCCGCTCAGTTCAGCACTTCAGTGTTGTAAGTACGGATACCCCATAGCGCAGCTGCCTGCAAAAGAGGTCCATTTACAAATCGTACTTCATGACGGTAAATGGAATCTCCGCCAAGCAAGTACCGATCTTCCGAGTTCCTGTCGCCGGAATTAATTATCAGCATCCATTCATATTGTAGTTTGGGCAAATATTGATGCTATCTCCGCGCCTCCACGCCTGCCGCACATAACCGTTGCATCAAAAGGTGGAATACTGAAAGCTTAGCTTTCAGTATCAGCGATTTATATGTACTGTGAACTCAAGCCAGCGTGCTAACAATAGCGTTATTTAAACAAATACAACAATGCTGTGCACACGCACATGGGACAGAACGAGTCATGTATAAGATAAATGATGTATAAACACAGATGAAAGCGAAGGGAAACTCTGGATGATCTCATGACTGACGCGAAGTGGAACGATGACCAAAGAAAAATCCGCGGCAGGTAACTTCATAGGAAACTTCCCGCCCTGACAGTTGACTGTTGTGTTTCT